GGGCAAGTGACAGGGTTAGCCAAGACCCCATCCGAGTGGATGGTGCAGGGCGCAAGCCGTTTCTTTGCGTCACCCTCCCATTCGTGATCAGGCCTTGTACTTGTATTCGCAGGTGGGCAGTGGATTATTACCATCTGCACTTTGCCTTACCCGCCTTGCCTTGCTTTGCCTAAACTAATCACCTTACTTACTTACTCACTTGCACCTACAGTACTAGTCCTTCTTCTCCCAATCTCCTAAATTTTACATCTCGCAGAAAACAACATCCACTTTGCGAAAAACCAAACACTTTACGACCGCCAACAGACATTTCTCAACGCCAACCAAAACAAACCCCACACCAAAACCAAGCAGCCCAGTGGATCGCGACCAAGCTGGCTGACCTGCGGGAGCCCGCTCACGTCATGGACCGAGACCTCAATGGGGTCAGGAGGAGGGACACCACAAAGGGTCCCCCCCTACGCATCCTGTCGCTAGGTAAGCAAAACGAAGCAGATCGGCCACTTTCGCGACACTCAAATCGCGCGCAAGACCTGTAAAACTGGCCCAAAAACGCCTACGCACACAACTGACATGGTATGAGACAGATGGCGGAGGAGTCCGTGGTTACTCCATGTTTATCATTCTCCAAGAACTCATGCACCGCACCTTTGTCGAGATCGAGGGGAGAGCCCCGCGACGAAACGAAATCCCTCGGCCTTGCGATCATTTCGATCTCATCGTCGGAACCGGTACCGGCGGTCTTATAGCCTTGATGCTCGGTCGACTGCGCCTAGATCTAGAGCAATGCAAGGAGCTTTACGTCAGGTTGACGCGCATGGTCTTCGAGACGGACAAGACCATCGCCGGCATTCCATACCGCTCAACCCTCTTCAAGGCCTCCAAGCTTGAAGAGGCTATCAAGGAGGCTGTGAGAGAACACACAGTGTATCAGAAAGAGGGCAATGACGGCACTGAGAACGATGTACTCAGTCCTCTCAGCGGCTATAACACCTCAAATCCCAGAAGACATGCAAGCAACGCCAGCACTGTCAGCTTCAGCGCACGAAGCCCCCAGGCCCAGATGGCACGACCTGCCTTCAACTCGCGTTACGGCGACCCAAACGCAAGACTTTATGACGCAAGAGAGAACAGGACCAAAACGTACGTATTTGACCACAATGACTGCCGGCCCTCTGCCTGGCATACCTGCATCGTAGCAGACTTTCAGCTGACATTTCCTTCACCTAGCGTCGTCTTAGCAATGTACAAAGGCTCCCGCAAGGGTAGCCCCGCTGCCGTATTGCGATCCTACGATTCGAGAAGGGAACCCCCGCCAGAATTTGACTGCAAGATCTGGCAGGCTGGACGGGCGACTTGTGCGATCGGCCTCGCATTCAAGCCTATTCAAATCGGACAGTCCGTATTCCACGATGACGGCGGTGGCACCTTCAACCCTTCCCCCGAGGCTCTTGACGAAGCCGTAGTAAACGAGTGGCCTGGTCGCGAAGTCGGCGTGTTTCTCAGCGTTGGCACTGGCAGACGGCCCAAAGGAAGTGATGCGAACTCACAGATGTGGTACGAAGGTTTCCTGGGAGAGTTTGCGGAAGCCCGCCGGAAGCTCATCTCCAAGATTGAGGGATGCGAGGCGATCCACGAGCAAATGAGGAAAGAGCACTTGTTAAAGCGGAACGTCAACGTCGAAAACTACTATCGTCTCAATGTGGAGGTTGGCGTCGGCGAGTTTGGTATGAACGAATGGCATCGCCTGGCGGAAATCAGCACGAGCACACGGCAATACCTGAGGCGGGAAGTCGAGCAGAAGATGATTCAAGGTGCCTCTGCGAAGATGGCCAAGATTCACAAAGCGAATATCAGGTTTTCCCGCCTGCCAGAAGTCCCTGAACTGGTCAAGTCAAATTCGGAGACGACTGAGCCAATGTCGTTTGCGGTGGAATTGCCAGCCGAGATCCCCACCTCCTGGCCACCACACAACACGCCGCCTAGCCGCCAATCTTACGAATCTGGTTCTGAGCACTTGCACATCCCTTCGCCAATGAGCCCTTCTCCAAGGAGTTCCGGCGAACGACTGCAACCATCGCCATCGCCGCGGCCTGAGCAACGGCCCCTGCCCCCAGCAAAGGATGATGAAGTTGACAGACTCGTTGTCACTGCACCCACCCCAGCGCAGTATCGTTACGCAGCAGGCGCTGATAAGATTGCTATCATGAGCCCGGATGAGCATCCGCGATGGCAAAACCAGCCTTACAACAACGGTCCAATCCAGCAATCGCAGCAACCGCAGCGTATTCCACCACCGCTGCCTCCTAAGACACCACTTCCGGAACACCAGGCAGCAGGAGGCCGCCGTCCCGTTGGCTCGTCGCCTCTACCCTATCCAGTGGATGACGAACCTCCACCAGTAAACATGGCTAGAAAGCCGGACTACCGCGGGAGGTAAACGAACGAAGATCAATTGAATACCCCGTTTCTCCATACGAGAACACTCAGAACGCAGTAATACCAACGGAGAAGTGAATATCAGAGCTTTGCTGGCTTGAGAGGCTTTGACTCTCCCAGAGCACGAAGCAAAAGGGAGTTATTTTCGGGAAATAAATCAAGTTTTAAGGGGGATTTAGTAAAGATACCATTCCAACGCATGTGTTTCCACTGGCCATGTGCAGTGGTTGCACAGCACGCAGCCAGTTTAATGAATTAATGACTTCCCTTCACGCTTAGACATCTTTCTTTCTCTCAGTCCCTAAAATCTCAGTGCAGCCAGCGACTTCCAAGTCCGGAACCTTCCCGCTCTCCCGCCGGTGGCGAGAACCCGAGAACTCGGTCGGCTAGTGGGCCAATACGTCACGGCAGAGTGGGCCCTGCCGATCGCGAACCGGCCTTAAGCTTAAAAGGCACGTTCCCCTGAGCTTGCCATAACGTCCCTAATCTCATTGTATTTCCATTGTATTTGATCACATCGACTCTCCGTTGACATGCTGGAACTTCTATTCTCTCGGCCATTTCGTTGCGCACTCTGACAGACCAAAAGCTCAAAAATTGGGGTCGAGAATGAAGCTCCATCCGTCGACACAACATTAACCCTATTGCACCAATCTGTGATGGCATCAGCACGATACTCAGCTAGCCAACGGGGCTTTTTCAGGCTCACTGCCCATGGCGCCGTACCAACGTCGCCAGAGCAAATGCGAAAATACACAAGGGGCATGCCAATGTCTCATTCATGTTCGTCTCGTTCCTCCCTACCACATTACCCACGGTTCGCATCACAGACCAAAGTAAGAATCGGCATGAGGTGGGGTTTTTCGAAGCATTGGGAACCCCCCAGGAATGCCACCTCTACTAGTCCAATCGAGACATTTGGGGGCCGACAGCGGGCTTCTATAGGCACGGTTTACGAAGCCATGTCTCTATGAACCCGTTTTACAGAAAACCATCCCTCATTTCTTGCTTATTCGGTGCGCCACGAACAGGGCTGACGAATTCCGCAGGGCACTTGGATGATGGAGTTGCCCAAGGGCGCTAGCTCTGCCTTAGCGGGAAGCCTGGCCCAGCCCTTCTTGGCTTCTGCTGTAGCTGACCAGTTCGTTCCTTTGGCGACGTTGATTAAGTTTGAGGTCTCTAGATCCACGAGATTGAGCACAAGCTAAGCATCATGGGCTCACTTCAGCTGTCTGAATTTGGACACACATGTTTTGTGCTAGCGCACTTGCTTGATTGCGGTTGCATCGTTTCGTCACAATGTGGGCGTCACATTCCCCAGCATGGAGAAGGCTTTTGGGTAGGCTTGTCACGAATCTCGGCACATCAAACTTGCTCGACCGTTTTTCGCACATTGACGAACCACCGGCTTCTCTTTGGTTCTGCATTCTTGAACTCAAGAGTCCGCCTCGGGCTTCACCGAAAGCGGGCCGTTGAAAGGGCTTCTGAGCCTATTGTTCTGTTTCGCCGGCTAAATCCGTTCTCAACCTTCCAGCTTGACGTCACATTGCTGCATCGACTCTATCTCACAAGTGGCATGATATTACAAGGACAAGTGTCCAGTCTCCTTTTGACAAGGCTCGAGCATGACAAGCCGCCAACGATGGGGCTTATGCTTCGTAGCTTACACCGTTTCTGCGGTCAGCCTATGACTGATACGATGGCTGGTGCCCCGTGGCTTAATTGCCCGATCCATGAACGCTTCGAAAATAGAGCGTCTGCCGCAATTGTTGATTGCGGTCAGGAGACATTCGCGGCAGCGATGGGAGGAGGTGTTGAGCCGGGCGTATCCTTTTCACAGCAATCACTTACAGTCTCGTTGTATTGGGATCGGAATTCGTAACTCTCGATCCGATGTCTCGACATCGATGCATCAGCCGTGTCCCACGGAAATTCCATCGAAGCGACTGGTCCAAATACGCTCTCTCTCTCTCTCTCTCTCTCTCTCTCTCTCTCTCTCTCTCTCTCTCTCTCTCTCTCTCTCTCTCTCTCTCTCTCTCTCTCTCTCTCTCTCTCTCTCTCTCTCTCTCCAGCGAGCAAAACCTTGAACCATCAAACTACCACTTCCCGGGTTTGGGCTTTCGCACTAGTGAGGAAGCTAGTGCACATCAACCAAACCCCAAGAAAGAACCAGAGGGCTGGTTTGTGGCTTTTCCTCAGTCCAGCTCGATTCAAGGAAGGTATCCCCATGACGCTAGACCAAATGTGTCAAAATCCGACGACCTGCAGCTCAGACAAAGCCTCCTTTCTCCTTTGATCTGGCTTCGACAATGTCCTTTTACTCTTTTCTCCGATTTGTTTATAAGTCAGCCTTACCAGGAAAATTTCAACCAGATTCTCGGGTCCAAAGTCACGTCATGTTTGGTACTGTGTCGCCGCCGCCACCGATCTGCTGGAAAGGTGGAACAAGAAAATAAGGACCTCAGGAACGGATGCTCCGTGGAAGACGAAAGCGGGGAGCATTAGCAGCAGAAGCAGAAGCAGGAGCAGAAGCAGCAGCCGCCTCCCTGCTGTTTTAGACGATGTCCGAAGGCTCGCAGCAGCAGCGGGCGTCGCGGAACGCAGCACGCGCTGAGAGATCAACAACCTCCTGTGGGCAGTGCAGGCGGAGGAAGCAGAAGGCACGTACACTGAGTGTTTGAGACTTCTTTTTTCTTTTGGCCGTGTACTTCGTGTGCGGCACTAAGTGTTGGCTGATCACTTACAAGATATCAAAAGAAGCGTCTTCGCTTCGTACCTATTTAGCCCACATGTCTGAGAGCCACAGGACTAACTCAGATACAGTGTGATCAAGGTCAGCCATGTAGTAACTGCCTCCGCCGTTTCCCTCAACCAGTTTGCGAGTATCGTGTGGGCAAGTAAGTCCGAAGCCCAGTCCCCATTCTCTCTTGCCAAATCCACGACTGTTACCACACTCTTGTACAAGACCTAACACGACAGCAGCCGCATACCGGGAACGTCTATCTTCCTGACGCCTGCCAGAGCAGGAGGTCGTGGTCCCCTCCTCTCAACACTCCCAGGAGTAAGCTCTCCTCTGATACAAACGTCTCAGTCAACAAGACCACTCGGGAGTCCCTCTGTCGCCGGCTGGGCTGTATCAGGCCTCTCGACGTCACATCCAAGCCCAAGTTCGGAAACGGCAGTATATCAATCTACGACTGGTGTACAACGGTTAGATTCAGAGCTCCTCAATACCGACGCGGAATGCCTTCCGCCATTGGTTTCGTGGCTTCCACTGGCCAATCCTGACCGCAGCATACTCGATGCCGATACCTTCCAAGCATCGCAGCAAGTCTTGTCACATCGACTAGCAGTCCCAAAGTTGATTTTCGACAACTTTGAAACGGTCCTTGATGAAGACAACACTCCCCAGCATGGGCTGAGTCCTGGAGCTTGGTCACATCCAGCAGAGTCTAGGATACAATTCTCTGGGCGACCAGCCAGCGGGATAGACGAGCAAATAGCACTTTTGCCTGTGGACCAAACCCCCTTGAACAAGAAACTACTCAGACTTTGTACGTTGCCACAGCTCCTGAAAAGCCAAAGAATTGATACTGACGAGCGAGTACAGATATCGCGGTTCTCTCGCGCTTCAAAGCTTCTATCAACGGCGACCCGAGCCCCAACAATCCCTTTATCCGTCACTACTCTCCCTTCTGCCTTCAAGATCCCCTGGTAATGCGAATTATTCTCTACACCTCGGCCTGCTTCCTCCACGAGACTGGGGATGTACGGACAGATGTCCTGCGGACTTACAAAGGTCAAGCCATCGCAATGCTCAACGAGAACCTAACAACGGACAGCAGCAAAAGTAGGGCGTCAAACACCACCGCAGTCACCGCAGCAGACGTAAACAGCTCAACCACCCCGACAACACAAAAGCCCGGCGATGCGGCCATCGCCGGCGTCATTCAGCTTACCGTGGCTGAATGGTACTGGGGCGAATCGGACCAGGACCTACGATACCACCTCAAGGGCTTGCGAGATATGATCAGGCTACGCGGCGGCTTCAATCAACTCGGCATGGACGGCCTCTTGGCGAAAAACGCCATCGTGTACGTAGACCTCTTATACTGTTCGAATCATTACACGTTTTCCGGATTGAACTTGTTGCGACTGTTATACCTTGGTGTGTTGATGTTTGCCTTTGTCGTGTCCTGACAATTGCTACTCACGTAACCGTATGTTTGTACGTTCTGTATATTTTACTTCCCGCATTATTGCTGCGTCCTTTATTTGGCTTTTCCGACAATTTTCTCGTACGCAGTATCTTCCGCCCTATTTACCATGTTTCCAGTTGTCCGTCCGACCCTCTCTGGTCTTATTTTCGCTCTAGGCCTTGACTCTTGACTCGTTTGACTCGCGAACGGATCCTCTTTCAACAAACGATATGCCCGTCTGGCTCGTCTTTACCTTCCCGATGAACTGACTCATATGCACAGTCACGATGTCTCCATATCCCTCGCCCATGAAAACAGCCCACTGCTACTGACTCTGTCGCCCTCGGACGACGACCGTGAAGGCGGAGGAAGCGGATGCAAAGGATCGATGGGGTCAGCGACAGCAGGAGAAGCGGCAAATTCAGCACATCGGGTCTTGGCGACGCCATACGCCTTCGTCGACCCTATAAAGGACGTTCCCCTTCGCATGGCGAACCTATCGCCTTTGGTTTCCCATCTACCGTATAGCGGATCACTCCCATCTTTCTCCGATTGCGCCACGAGTCTGCGCATCCACCCGGCGACGGCCTCGATACTCGACAATGTGAGATATCTTTTCTGCGTCGTCGACGCGATTTACGATGAATCGACGGCATCAGCCAGCACAACTACCCAAGCCTCGCTAAAGGCCCGATCGATGGGAAAGTACATGTATGAACATATCAGCGGTCTTCACCCAACCACACCTGGACATCGCCAAAGTCTCTCCTCAGATCCTCCTACTCGAACGAGCTCGCCGCCCAATAGCAATTATTCTGCCGCCTTCGACAGAGAATCCATACGAAGCGGGAGTATGTCCAGCACAGGTACGGCAGCCGGACCTGGCTCCATTGGCCCGGGCCGATCACCTTCGGGTCCGAATTCCGACTCCACCACAACATCCGAATGGTCGTCAACCAAGTCACATACCCGAGACGCTAGCGATTCTCCGACGAGTCCTCGATCCGTATACCACCACCAGCAAAGTCCGGATTTCATGTACCAGGTTATCCGAATGACAGCGTTACTTTACACGCGGGCCGTCATGACCCGGACGCCGCTGAGCGGGACATGCACGGAATCAGAATTTCTGCAGATCTGGACAACGACATGGCGCGTACCCTTGTCGGCATGGAACGACACGGTGGGCATATTTCATTGGATTATGCTGGCTATCGCGCCGGCATGCCACCGGACGCCGCACGCGCGCTTTGTGAAGAACATGGTGACAATCAGCACTCTCACGCTCGGAGTGGAAGACTGGGCAATGGCTATGGGTGCCGCGTCGACCGGCATGCGGCTGCAGCATTGGCTCGAGGGCCAAGACATGGGAGAGCAGGAGGAGTGGGAGGAGTAGAGGAGGAAGAGAGGGATGGAGCGGCATCAGCAAGAGGAGACGGCGCTCCGGGAGCGAAGAGCGGTGAGTGGGTGTGTAGCCAAGAAACACACGACGATTGCTGAAGAGACTCCTCCTTTGTGGTGGAGTGACTCCGTTCCCGCAAAGTCATGGATATTGCTGGACACGTCGGTCCACGGCCGCATATTGCAGGTTACGAAACCCGACAACGAGGGAAAATATTTCCCTTCTATCATGGAGGTGTGTAGGAGGGGGCCACTGGCAAGCAGCAGATTACTGCGTTCTGCGTCGAGAATGACGTCCGTTGAGCGTAACGTCTGTAACAACAACAAACCTGCCATTCTCGGGCTGTCCATTCCTGGGATTCGAAAGACTTCAACTTGCCACGAGGTGGTGAAGAAGGCGACGCTGCCGGCGGCAACACCGCAGCGCAGCGGTTTCCTTCCAGGGGGTCAGCTTGCTGCTGGAAGCTACTGCATAAGGGTAACATTGGGAGAGGAAAAAAAGAACAGACAGGGGAGGGAGAAGGCTTCATGGACAGGGTAACTGTCCAGGGGGGGGCCTTGATATATGGCAGGGTACGGAGTACAAGGGAGGTGGTTTTTTTGGCATCACGACAATTGTGCGAGAAACAGTAACTTCGTGCCTGGGCCATAACGTCGTCATTTCCAAATCCCCATCAACAATCCCTACGATCCGACTTCCGAAATTACTCCTGGGGAAGCGCTTGCACCTTCCGCTGGCAAAGTTCAACCAAAGACCGGGGTCAAGACGAGCGAGCATCAAGAGGGTGGGAACGAGGGAGGGTACTGGGGGAGAGGCTGGCCTGCGGTCATGCTGCGGCCTCGAACTCTAAAGAGTGGGTGACGATGCAGTCCCCCTCCTCTTGCTGATGCTCCCCTCGTCCCTTTTGTCCCCTTCCCCCTCCCCCATAGTAGGGTGTGTGTTATGTTCCAGTTTGCGGAACCGTCCCAGCAGCGGGCGCCCAGCAGACGATTCCTCTCCTGACACTTTGATGGACGATACAACGCTGCCCACGTTTTTGACGGCAACATGTAACTCGTCACGGCCGGGATGGGCAGCGTTCGAGGCCCCCGTGAAACGGGCGACCATGCTGAAAGAGAGAAGTCGCAGAGAAGTGCGATGCCAGGCGGTTGTCCGTTCGCTCTGCCGGAAGCCACGTGGACGTGCCAGAAGCTGCACTGAAGAACCCTAAACCGTTTGGACGCCCTATTTCCCGTTCGACCGCTTCCCCGGGAAACGAACGATACGCTCGTACGCAATCTGTGGAAGCGAGGTCGGTCTGTCCGCGTCCTGAGTGGTATCGGTAATACAAAGGGCCGGTTCTGGCTGACCGACAAACGGTAGAACGGAAGAATGGAATGGCATACTCCAGCTCAACCACGGATATCACAAACCCCTTGTGCGGAAGTGAGACACGCATAGGTACTCCGTACAGAGAGCCTGGCGGATTCGGGACGGTGGTTGGCAAGTGGATCTCAAGCACTCCCGAGCCCGTCCGTACGTAGCATCCGCACTTTGTGCCGGGGCAGCGGCTGGCTGTGCTGGGTTCTTTGACGGTTGGACTTTGTAGTGTAACCGTTCTAGCGGAATTTCCGCACCCGCAGTTCTGTTTCCTCTTCCGTCGTCCGGAGGTGACGTCAAAACTATTTGAAGCCCAAAAAAAAGAGTTCAAGGAGATATCCGCAGAAGACAGCCTACACAGTAGAGGCATTGGCGGCGTCGATCCCGAACCTCCGCTAAAATGATTCCCTGCCAGGAAAGCCTGAGTTCGATTTGACGCATAATATGAGAGCTTCCGCAATGGAAAAAGGAAAAGAGGAGGAGGAGGGTGTATGATGGGATGTACTATGCAGATCGTAGGACCAGAGACGGGTGAATACAAAAGATACAAAGGCAAAAAGAGAGAAAGAGAGAGAGAAAGAGAGAGAGAGTGTGTGTGTGTGTGTGAGAGAGAGAGAGAGGGAGAGGGAGAAACATGTGGTGTGGAACTCTGGAAGCAATCGTGCCGTGTAATTGTGCTGCGTGAGGTGGTGCATGCAATGCGATGTCCCACGAGCAAGGAAGAGCAAAGTTGAAGGAAGATGACTTCCCCACGGATAAGGTACGTAGGGGTGATTGTACAATGTTCGCTCATCAGGGTGGTGCGGAAGAGACAGAGGAAAGAGGAGAGCAGTTGTCGCAATGTATCCGTACATTGACGACCAAAGGTACAGACATTGCATCCGGTACCTTGCGATGTCCAATGTTGGTCGAATGAGAACAGGCCGTGTTCACTTGTTTTCGAAGCCCAGTCCCGGACGGAGGAGGGGGGGGGGGGCGGGCGAAAGGGTTACCCGACGAAAGGTTTAGAGTTCAGAGCCACGTTCCACGGCGTGTTTCGAACGAATTCCTTTCCCAATGAAAGAATGGATCGAAGTACACGCAGAAGGCTGCCACGTCCTGTGTCAGATCAGACTCCGTTTTCCTTGTGTGTGCTGAATTTTGATCTATACAGAGTACCTTGCGGCCACCGCGGTGGCAGGGAATCTTCCTTGTGTGATTGTCATCAAGATGCGATGAGAAAATGGCACCCTTCAATGTCGCTCAGTGGGCGGGCGGGCTGACCTGACGGGCTTCGCGGGCGCTGACCGGGCAGGGGACGGGGTTCGTCTATTTAGACTTTAACTTTGGCCTTGCAGAATGCGTTGGTTCTCACCCGTAACCATGAGATCTGTATGACGCCGTTATGCGTTCTGTGAAAAGAGGACTCAACCTTGCACCAAGTAAGGTATTCGTAGGTATCCCCTACGAAGTATCCTTACGAAGTCCTGTCCATCGTTAAACCTGAATCGTTGCCGCATTCGCCGTTTGCTCGACTCAATCAATGCAGTAATGACGAGATCAAATCAGGTTGGCTCAAAAAATAAAGTTGAAGTCAACTCAAGTCGCCTCGTGTCGCATGAGATTAAGCCGTTGTTCCTGGCCAGTTCGACTCATGAAAAGCACATGGCGTCGTGCCCCGTTAGTCGTTCGCGTGCCGTCCATTGGCCGCAATTGTTGTTACACCTATGCTAGCAGGTTGGATAGCTTCTGTTGTTCCAGTAGCTAAGACTATTTCGGCTGTTTTCGAGAAGTTTCCGTGTCTAAAGCTTGATCGTCGTTGATACTCTGTGCGAGAATGTTAGTTCAAGATGGTGGCGCCCATCAACCCTTGACCATGGACCCTCGTGCTCTCGTGCCTCTGTCCAAATCTGTCGAACTCGCCTGGCGGTTAACCTGACCATTGCGCTTTGATGCTCTGAAGATGGTCTCGATTTTTCCCTTTTTTGGGCCAAGGTTCTTCTAGAGTGTCTTCTGGAGCTGCTCCATTCGTTCTTTGCCCACTCTCGTATTGCGCCAATGCAAGTTCAAGTCTTGTTTTCCCCCTTTTTTCTTCTCATGTCCACAGTCCCGTCAGTCATGAGGTCGGCCGCCGGCCTTTTGCTGCGGCGAAGATCTTGAGATAGGCGTAAAGTCAGATGGGTACTTGCGCGCTCTGACCTTGACAAGTCCTGCAGCAAAGCAAAGTACCTGGTGAACCAGTCGGTGCTGGTGTGAAGCGATGATATCCCGTACTCGCAGATTCGAAGCAATGCGACTGTCCGATAAAACAACGCCCCCCCTCTAAGGTTTCCCTCAGCCCTTTTTTTGTACGGTATCAGGTAGCTGCTCCCCAGAGCCCCCCACTCGGCCGGCAAAGCTGGACCCGATACCGGTGTCGGCCGTTTCCCGCTGTCTCTTCACCGAAGCCTCTGCCCACCTTGCCCGCCTCTGCCACTGCCGATGCCGCAGGCCATCGTTTCTTAGGTAAGCCTCGCTGCCCTCGGTCCACGGATAAGATGCGAGATAAGATAATCTGCAATGGTTGAGCATCGGCTCCTCTTCTTGGCTTAGCGCGCTGAAGAATGCGGTATGCACGATTTGCATTTCCGGCAGATTGGGCCACCGAATCTCTGGGTATCTCATCAAGGTGGCCGCCGCATTTCCAGAGAATCAGTAGGGCAGAGTCGCAGCAACTGCGCACAATGTCAGCCGCTTGCTTCTTCGAGAAATCCGACCTCATCCATTGCGTCAGTTCGGATGGGACAGTTGCCATGCGATAATTGATGCAGCCACTCAGAGTCAACGGTCCGCTCTCTAACGTCCTCGCCCACGTAGACCCTCGCAAGCGTGAAAAGAAATTCATGTCGGCCGAAATGCAGACTAATCGCTGTCCAATCTTGGCTCGTCGATTGAGGGGTTCCCCCCGCGCGATGAGAACCAGGCATGCCTCGCGAGAGGTGTCCAAAGTCAATTGTCCGTCATGGAGTTGCAAACTTGGTCCAATTGCGCGTGGCAAATAGCTCTTGTCAGCTATCTTGTGTCTGAACTTTCGAGACCAGCATGGGATGGGGAGGGGTCGCGAGATGGAGTTTTGAAAATTGCCGTATACAATGCTGAGCCGTTTCCTGCTGTCCTTCTCGTTTTCTTTTGACATCTGATCGTCTGAACTTTCGCTCCCTCCCTTAAGTCTTTGGAAATTCGCCAGCAAACACATCGGTGCTTGGGTGCGCAACTAGCCTCGGATTGTCTCATCTGCTTCGTCCCTTGACTCGCGCTCGCAGTTTACCCTAAGGTATCGACTTCCGGAAAACGGATTCAACCATCGGTCGGATTTCCCACAATCACCGCATCCGGGGTGAGAACGAGCTTGAAAGAGAGCTGTCGCAATCCGAGTAAGAACCACCATGTCGGACACGTCGTCGGCCGACACACTGGGCCCGCCCTCCATGTCGTTCCGGTCCGAGACCACGGCGTTGCTACCGAAACCCCCGGCGGCCAAGTCGGAAGAGCCCTACGCAGTCCGGCAATGGCTGGCCGAGATCCTGCTCCTGGCTAAAGCCGCTGTCCCGGTTATCCTGGCGTATACGCTGCAGAATAGTCTGCAAACTATCAGCGTTCTTATTGTTGGTAGACTTAGCCCGGAAGCACTCGCCACCGCTGCCTTCAGCTACATGTTCGCCATGGCGACAGCGTGGCTCATTGCCCTGGGTGGTACGACCGCGCTCGACACTCTTGCGTCGAGTAGCTTCACAGCATCTTCGAACAAGCACGACCTGGGCATTCTGTTGCAGAGAGGGATCCTTGTTTTGTCGTCATTTTATGCGGTGGTGGCAGTGCTCTGGTGGTTCTCCGAACCGGTGTTCCGGGCGCTGGGCCAAGAAGAGTTCATCTGCGTGCAAAGCTCGGCGTTTTTGCGATGCCTGATCCCAGGCGGGTTGGGGTACGTGTGGTTCGAGGCCATGAAGAAGTATTTGCAGGCGCAAGGTAAGTCAAGGGTCCTCAGTGCCACCTCGAGAAAGTCAAAGAGTGGGAGAAATAGATAACGGCACTGACGTGGCTGTGACAGCGATCTACCGCCCAGGCACTTATGTGCTGTTGATTACATCCCCGATGAACGCCGGGCTCAACTATTTGTTCATCCATACTCTCGGCCTCGGCTTGTATGGTGCTCCTTTGGCGACGGGTATTTCGTACTGGCTATCGTTTCTCCTTCTTGTGGCCTATGCCATCTTCATCCGCGGCAAGGAATGCTGGGGCGGTTTGGAGCTCCGGAAGGCCATCAGAAACATCGGACCCTTTTCCAAGCTCGCACTTCTTGGAGTCGTCCATGTTGGCACTGAATGGTGGGCTTTCGAGATCGTGGCCTTGGCAGCCGGGAGACTTGGCACTATCCCGTTGGCTGCTCAGTCTGTCATCATGACGGCAGACCAGATCATCAACACTATTCCGTTCGGTCTAGGGGTAGCAGCGTCGGCAAGACTAGGAAATCTGCTGGGAGCGCAGCGGCCTCGAGACGCGGCGATAGCAGCACACTCGGCAGCAATTCTGTCCGTGATACTCGGGAGCGTTGTTCTTATTGTGCTCATGGCGACGAAAGATGTATTTGGCAAAATTTTCAACGACGATGAGCGAGTAGTGAAGCTCGTGGGGGAAGTGATGCCGTACGTCGCACTCTTCCAGATAGCAGATGGTCTTAACGGATCGTGTGGTGGTGCTCTTCGAGGCATGGGCCGTCAGTGGGTCGGAGCTGCGGTGAATCTCGTCAGCTATTACGGTGGAGCTCTCCCCGCCGGCATCTACCTCGCCTTTCACGGCTGGGGTCTCGCCGGCCTGTGGATCGGACAATGTGTCGCCTTGTATCTGGTTGGGGCGTTGGAATGGGTGATTGTTGGGTTTAGTAAGTGGGAAAAGGAGTGTCAACGAGCGATCGATAGACTGGACGACAGTAGCAGCGACGACGAGGTTGAATCTGAGAGCACGGCCTCCGGTACGGTATAGCAAGACCGGGAAGAAAGTATCTGGAAATCAGTGTTGTAGCCCCGGAACGCGGCAGGAAGGAAGTAAATCAGGAGACCAAATTATACGGGCAGATATTCGTAGCCATTGAGAAAATTGGACGAGGTAGATTATTCATGATCATGAGCAATTCTTCGAGTTTTAGTAGCCAGCTGATTATTTCCTTGAGAAGTACAAACATAGCACATGACGATTGAAAACGTGGAAGCTGCAGCCTCATCTGTACTGAGCACCTGCTTGCCTTACAGTAAAGTCGCCTGTGACCCAAGCCGAACCTCATCAGAATTACTCCCGTCTGTACGGATACCTTCCTGTGTTCTAGGTATATCAGCCATCAGGTAGGAACCCAGGCCCCCAACTTCCCAACTGCTATACTTGCCCAAAAGAGTAAGGGCTCTAGCTCCAGAGCGGGGGTTTTACGTTTACGTGCTAACATATCTTGCTTTACATAGCACGAGTCTGGGTTAGCAAAATATTACCCATCAATTTGCTGCGAGACGGTTGTGCCACAGGTCTCTTCAACCCCGCCAACAAAACCCCACTACCATCACGAAGCCCCCCAAGCATTGGAGGAGAGAGCCGATGATGGCATTGCTTGCGTGCCTGGCTACTGCACAACGCGCATTTATGGTCAAATAAGGAATTCTCTGAAAGATTGTCAACCATGTCTGAACAAATAAATTATTGAGACACCCTTCAGCCCTCTCAATCTCTTCTTTTCATCTCAGACCAGAAGTTCGTCCAGTACCCAATCTATTTATACATTCTGCCTTGACAACTGCTTGACTCAGGTTAACCGCACGGCTGTAATACAATCTCGAACCATATATTTGAGAAACCATGGCCCCCATCGGAGTAGCTATTGTTGGAGGAGGTATCTTTGCCAAGGAAGAGCATTTGGTGAGGGAAACCACCTAGCCGATATCGCCCATCCGCGGAGGCCGCGTCTCTCTTTGTCACTGACTGTCTAAACAGCCTGCTGTGGAAGCAAGCGACAACCTCAGCCTCAAGGCAATCTTCTCTCGCTCTCTCAAGTCCGCCCAGGACACGGCCAAGCTCGTCACCAAGTCAGCCTCACCTGACTTGTACTCTGACGACGCAGGCGAGGGCAAGTCCTTCAAGGATCTCTTGGCCCGTGATGACATCCAGGCTCTCATCTTGGCCCTGCCCATACTGAACCAGCCCGACTACATCAAGCAGGCCCTTGCTGCCGGAAAGCACGTCTTAGCCGAGAAGCCTATCGCCGCCGACATTGCTCGTGCGCAGGAGCTGATCGAGTATTACAAAAAAGTGTCAGCCGAAAAGGGCGTGACCTTCGCCGTGGCCGAGAACTACCGTTTCCAACCCCGCTACACTACGGCAAGAGACGAGGTGCGGAAGCTAGGCAAAGTCATCGGCTTCAACGTGAGGGTCTTTTTCTTCGTCAAGCTGGGCGGCAAGTACATTGAGACCGCATGGCGCAAGAAGCCCGACTACCAGGGTGGGTTCCTCCTCGACGGTGGCGTCCACTTCGCCGCCGCCCTTCGCCTGCTGCTCGGCAAGGACGCGGCGCCGGCCTCGGTCGCTGCCTTCTCGGACTTGACCCGGGAGCATCTACCGCCCATTGACACCATCAATGCCGTCGTCAAGACCAAGCAGGGCGCCACTGGTTCCTTCGCCGTCAGTGTCGGCTCAACCCTGAGTGCCTTCGACTTCCACGTGGCGGGCGAGAACGGCAGTGTGACCTTGTCGAGTCACGACCTCACCGTCAAACCCTTTGACGGCGAGGCAACAACAACTCACTTTGGACAGACGAGTGGTGTAAAGGAGGAGGTCAAGGCCTGGGCCGAAGGTTTAGCCGCCGGAACACCCAACCCGCTGCAATCACCTGAGGAGGCGCTGGCGGATTTGGAGTTCCTCGAGAAGATCTTCACGAGTGGTGAACAGGATGGCGCAATCCAAAAGCTGGATTTGCAGCTGTAAACTTGTAAAGGAACTTGTTCAGAGATAAGCTCCAGGGCACAAGTGGGTGGGTGATAGAGTTCAATTTAGAGCTTGTTTTCCCTGCCATCCACCACCAGAAGTCGCCGCAGACCCCTCCGCATTTCGTCCTGCATTCCGGATGCGGTTGGACGACCGGTAGATCTCTCGACAAAGACGTGGGTAAACTCCCCGACTGCTCTCACCTCGTCCACTCCCTTTTCAAACAAGGCAATTTCGTATGTGACGCTTGACTTCCCCAACTTGTTCACTCGCAGCGCTAATTGAGCGACTGCGGGGTACGCAATCGAAGCAAAGTAGTCGCTATGCGAGTGTACCACAAGGCCGTACTGATCAGAACCCAAGGGAGATAGGCCACAGTGCTCGATCAGGTAGGCGTTGACTACGGAGTCGTATCTGCAGTCTTTAGCCGGGCGCTGCGCGGACATTAGCTGGATCGAGAGAAACATACAGGAAATTGTAGACGCTATTGTTCATGTGCTGGTACATATCATTATCGGCCCTAAGAAACCTTGTCAATCTCTGCCCAAGCAGCAAAAGCACAAACGAATGAAAGCGAAATATGAGGTGATGAGAATGATGAGGAGATGACGGCTACTGATACGCTGCGAAGGCGCCCTCCTCTCTCAATCATGAGCGTAAGAGGTTGACGAAGGAAAGGACAAAAGGGCGTCCGCTTGCAGCACGGACAAGGCCCCCTTGAAGCTTTGCGAGGAATGAGCCCGGTCCCTCCGTTTCGAGGTCGATAGTAAGGGAGGAAGGACGAGAGGCACCGAGGAGTAGGTAGAAGCGGAAGCCGCAATGACAGCCTGTGTCAATGGTGACGAGATAGAGGTAAACTCACCATCGTGTCCGGTAATCTAAGATATAGCCGTAGTCCTCCCTTCGACGCTGCTTTAACTGCTTGTTGCTCGCCATGGCGGTGCTCTTGCGAGATAGAGGAAGATCGGATATTTGGAGCACGTCGTAGGCGGGGATGCCGAAGGTACTGGTCCTTGGCCGGGTTGTATTGGTTCAGAGACACAGGAGAGGGATGCTCAGTCAGACGTCACTGGGTAAGCGTGTGTTGCCTTATCGGCACTTTTCTCGATTGAGTTGTGGTTCAGCTGGTTACTTTTAAACCTTTCGATGAAGAAGCTCTCGTAGCTTTCCGCTAGGTGTTGCGGAAAATTTGTTGAGACTCTAGATTACCGCAGCCTATTTGCAGCTGAGTAGATCTCCTAGCTGAGCCGAGGCAGAATGGCATGTTTTCGCCAAAAGCAAAAGGAGCCAATCACCAATGTCGGCAGACCTTTTTGGTCCAGAGCCGGAATACCTCCCTCTTAGAAGCCAGGGGTGCTGATTACCTTAGCTGGAAAAGGGTGGACTCCAGCTGAGCTTATATAATGAAGCAGCTAAGTTCACTGGCCAATCACGCTTCTGCCAGTCCACCTTTTGTGAACCCGTCCACCAAAAATTCAACTTCAGCAAAGTTCTGCCACGCCTGACCGCCAAGATTTTGTGACTCTTTTCGAGATACATTTCACCATACATGCAAAGTTTGTTGGTAGTTGTTATCCAGGCTCTTCGAGGCAAGCAGCAAGCGACTTCTCAAGCACTACTTAGTTACGGCTAGTCAAAGTTCCGCAAAGCTCCACGAGACACCACTTGCTACTTACATCATCGCACACCCCGCCTCTCAACTTACCTACCCGATCAATCCTGGCTACCCTCTTGCGTTCAGTTTGGTCCTTGGCAAGGTTGCCATTCCGACGGGAATCTCTGAGGCCTGCCATGGCTTCTGATCAAACGACACCAACGTCGGCTGCGGCCCCACTGTCGGCTGCAGCTCCAGCTGCTGAACCAGCCAAGCTACCGGATGCCCAACCGTCTGAAGCTTCCAATGAGCTGCCTGAAGTCTTGACGACACCTACAGGCGACATGTGGCCAAGGCCGTACTTCTTCGAGGACGGTCTCCGCAGAGTTGCCCCTTATCACTTCACCTACCACACCTGGGCCAAGCAACGCTGGCGCGGCCGGAAGCTAATCGATATTTTTGAGGACGAATTCAGGGACCGCACCCTAGAGTACTACCGTTATGCCATGGAAACCGGAGCCATTGTTGTCAACGGAAAGGCTGTTGGCCCGGATCATCTGGTCAAGAATGGCGACCTTGTGAATCACACAATTCATCGTCATGAGCCACCTGTTACGGGCGAACCAATTCGTGTTATTCACGAAGATGATGAAATGATTGTTGTCAATAAGCCATCAGGTGTACCGGTACACCCTGCTGGCAGATACAAGTACAATACACTTATCGAGATCATGAAGTCTGAGCGAGGCGAGCATTTCCTACCTTATCCATGCCATCGCCTGGACCGCCTTACCAGTGGAATACTTTTCGTCGCCAAGACACCACCGGCTGCAGTGAAGCTCACTGCTCAAATCAGAGCTCACACGGTCCGCAAAGAATACTTGGCGCGCGTTGCTGGCAAGTTTCCAGATGGCGAGATTGTCTGCGATCAACCTATCCTCCAGATATCCCCACGACTAGGCCTCAACCGCGTGCGCGCCAACGGAAAGTCGGCCCGTACCGTCTTCAAACGTCTGGCCTACTACCCGCCGGACACTCTGAATAACTCGGAGGCAGCACAGCCCAAGAGTGCGGAACGACTTGCGGACGAGGAACGCCGGCCTTGGATCAAGAAAGAGGGCTACTCAATTGTTCGCTGCCTGCCTTTGACGGGCAGGACGCATCAGATTCGCGTGCATCTACAATTTGTCGGACATCCTATTGAAAATGATCCCTTGTATGCGAACCAGCGAGTTTGGGGTATTAACTTGGGATGCAACGACTCGGAGGCAGTTGAGAACACGGACGAAGATATCATGTCGCGTCTGGAAAGGATGGGCAAACAAGATATTGCCGACGCTGTGGCCTATCACGACGAATTGGTGGATCTGTACCAGAAGAGGAGGGCCGAAAAGCTATCAGGAGAGCTTTGCAAGGTCTGCGATACGCCGCTCTACACGGACCCCGGCGAGCATGAACTATCGCTCTGGCTTCACAGCCTCCGATATGAAGATGCCGGAGGGGCTTGGAGCTACACCAGCCCGATGCCCGCGTGGGCCCTTCCTCCGGACGGCATTAACGGACCAACGGAGGTCGGGGGACTGGAGGAGTTGGTGGGGGCAGTACCAGACGCAGACCCAGCGGTAGAAGCAGTACCTGAAGGCGCCGCCTGAGAATACCTCTGTACGGCGAAAGCAAACATACCTGCATACTTACTACGTACTCACGTACTTCACCACGGTCCCGGACGGACCGATTGATTGACTCCACTGATCCAATTCTGTGTTGGATTTGGGACGATTTGATACCCCGGGTTGAGGCATTTACGACCAGACTTTTTTCGCAACAACAGATACAGATACGAATAGAAAGCTCTCCTTGAGCCTGCCTGCACTCCTGCTGCGTTGTACAGGGGTAGCGCCATACATGGCCCAATATCATTTTTCTTTCGTTAGAGACATACAAGGTTCCAGATGCGCGATGATGTACATCATGTCCGTTGCTGGTGGTTGTACGGAATTTCTGTACGGAAATTCCGTCAGTGACGGAATGACCGCTGACAAGTCCCAGTCTAAAGGATTCGCACTCGTCCAGGGTCTCTGGAGTCTCACTGTCTCTCCCGCAGCCGACACCACACTCAGACCATAAGCCCGGAAATGCCAAGTCACTGGCCCTGGCCATTCTGGGTACTGAAGTACGGAGTACACTACGGAGCGAGATCCGCAAAGCACCGGTTGAGCCAGTGATTGGTCGGCTCGTAAGGGAAAAGCGGTCGTCATTGGGCTGCTAGCGCATGTATCACCTGGGTTTGGCTCGAGGAGGCGCTGGGAGGGTACTGAAGCTCGTCGAGGTACCTCAGCAGCTCCGGTACCTCGTTCTCAGAATCCGGAGAGATTTCCGCCCTTTCCCACCCACCGCCAGACCGCTCCCCTCCCCCCATTCCTCTCAGCTGGCCCGCCCTGACCTAACACCCCGACATCCTAACCAGCTGGAGCCTCGAGGCTTTCGAGGATGAGGGTGCCCGGCGCATGCCAGGCACAGCGCCGGGTCTTGCAAGCAGGGTCTGCTGCAGGCCCTGTTTTTTCTTCTGGGGATTCCGGCCTCATTGGTCTGGCAGGTATCCTCCCGAAGGAATTAACAGAGGAAACGAAACATACAACGGCCGGCTTTCTGAGTCAGAATTGACAAAACAGAGATCCGAACTGGATATTGCGCCGACAAGACGGCATTCATCAGGGGTTCATCACCCCCGGACCGGCATTGCTAAGCCCACCCCGAAATAACTCATAAAATCGCTGATTCCGGATGCCCTCTTTGCTTTGTTGACCTTCTCGACGCCTTTCGCCGTGTCCGAAACCCCTCGTCAACCACATTCGAACGCCTATGACATAACTCACAAGCGACTACAAACCCATGAACAATATGCGTGCAGCTTCGGGAGGCCGGCACGAGACGCCTTGTACGACCAGATTGCTGGAATTCACGATGCCGAGCGATCAGGCTGGGGAAGAATGAGAAGCAAATGCGGCATGCGACCTCAGGGAGAAGAAGGAACAACGAGGGAGGGCCGCCCAGAGCCAGACGGGACATTTGCCCCGCGATTGGGGGAATACAAGAACTAATTGACAGCTGGAAACATCTACAAAGTACTAATCACGGAACCAGTAGGTAGAGTGAGACTTTTTGGGCGCGGGGAGATGAGAACCAACAGATCAACCTCAGACACATCAGCAGACTTCCCATTCTCGAAAGGGGGGGAGGGAGCCTCCCCCGAAACGCCACAATCCCGCCAGCTTGGAAACCTTGTGAATCGCAATCCAGCTCGGCGACAGAACATGCTTCGTTTTTCCTTCTCGCCTCTTCGATGCGATGCGCCAGAGTCACCGCGGTGGTGGTGTCCTCGGACATGACCCTGGGCTGGGACGACGAGAGGCTAGAAATGCGAACGCCCGATGCAATGCAGAACCCAGACAGAAGAGTTCCATGGACCTTCGAGAAGCCCGCCACGCATGTCAGAGAGAATACCGGCGCATTGCCCTTCAGTACCTGTGCGCTTTTCTCAAGTTCTCACACCGCATCCTGAGAGTTATCCTACACCCCGGAGCAAGAGGCACATCTCGGAAAAAGAAAAGACCAGCAAAAAAGTAATGAAAAAACAATGGACGAGAGGCAACATAGACACACACACACATACACGCAAGCAGACACGTGCGAAATTCGGCTCAGGTCGCGTGGACAGCGGCGATCTCGGGTTCGCTGGCCAGGCAGCCAAGGACAGGCATTCGGTCGATTGTGCATACCGTACCTATCTGGCGGAGGCCAACACGCCGCACCGCGAGAGCGAGTGTTTCTGCGAATAAGACGCTGACCGCGCTGAATCAAAGTTGGCTCGGTCAGAAGGGCGTGCCGCGAAGCTGAAAAAAGTGAGACAGGATGCCGACATAAGACTCGGCAGCAGAGCAGGGAGAAGACAACACCCCAAATCGCTGGGGGTTTTTCCCCCCTCGGCCGGCTGTGCCATGCTGTTGCTGGGCTCACATCTACTAACGTTCAATGGCAAGAGACTGCGAGTTGCAGACAAGATTGACCAGGGGTGCCTTACGCACCAGCCGTCATGAGCCTGCATTCCGAAAGGCGAAAAAAAAAAGCAATCGGGGAAAAAGATTGACAACGGCAGTTCAGTAGCGGCATCCTGTGGGATTGGGCAATCGGAACCAGGTCCGATGATTGGAACGACCATGATGGACGCCGCCATTCAGTTACAACATGGAGGTGTACCGTGTATGGTGTGCGCGCGCGCGCGCCGCTCTCCAGCCCAGTTCTAATTCCAAGCCAGCCAATTCGAAAGCGGTGAAAAGACAAGAATATCTCAATTTCGCGTGGCCTACCCACGACGGAATCCGAGGATGCCGTTCGGGAGTGGGCACTTGAACATGTGTTCAACGGAGCCGATGGGGGTTCAAATCGAGGCCCTTGGGGCACTTTGGATGACGAGGCTGGCGAGCCGTCGTGAACTCTAGGCCAGGTGCAGTTTGGATCCGATCGTCGGACGTGCTAGTTGCAAAGACCGCCTTGGCCGTTGGATGAATTGTCATCGCGGCGTGGCTCACCGAAAGCTAGAATGTCTGTCGCCAGACAAGACGACGAACGTGAAGCGGGCGAGCCGATAAGTTCCTGGCAGTGGCTCCGGCACTGATGGCACAGGGCGGCTGGTATTCAATGTTTCTGGTCGGCAGGCTAGAAGGTCTCTCTTGTTCGTTAGGCCCGAACACGCCATTCGAAACCGCCGCCGCCGCCGTCAGGTCGCATTTCTCGTCTTATTCTCCTGACTATGCAATGAAGGTGCTAGAAGGCCTCAGAAGATGGGTAGATCCAAGACTCTTTCCTCCAAAAGGACGACGCAACACACTAGTGGTCGATACGCAGTGGCTCCAACCTCTCTCTCTCTCTGTGTCTTGATCGGAGGACGTTGTGCCAGTGGAGGTGGACTAGGTGATATTGGGTAGGGTTTCCGCACCGGAATACTCCATTTGGCAAACGGTTTCTACTACGGATACTAGGTAGGAGACCCTCGACGTTCTATGACACCACTTTCTATTGCGCTCTTTGAGTGAGAAGGCCCGACGGCGGAGGATATTTTTACTCTGGAGCCTCTTGTCCACATGGTGCCAAATCTTTTGCGACTGCCCAAGTTGGTTATTGCTGCTCGTCGCTTCGAATGCGAAAATACAGAGATGGCTAGCTAGAGTTTCTCGGTTCTTCTCGTACTTACGGTCTGAGCCTCTTAAGGCGCCTACAGGCTACGGATACACAATCTCACTGCCCGCACACCACGCAGCCGCCCCCCAAAGGTCGGCCGACAACGAACCATGCCCGGCCGCCCATGGCAGAAGAACCCCTCTAAAAAGGGACAAGCGTGTTACGGTTGGATGTGATGGAGGGGGACAAGGTATCGGTCGGGCTGGCCGCCGCCGGAGCAGCGAAGTGGGAGCAGGTTTCCGTGCACTTGCATGGTGCTAGCAATAGCAGAGACTGTTCACGGTAGTCGGGTACGTACCGACACGCCGACGGGGGGGACAAGAATTCCAATCCAATGAGTGCGAGAGGACAGCAGCTGCCAGCAGCAGACTGGCTGGTCGCAGTTCCATCGCTGAGGAAGAGGAGGAGGAGGGCTTCAAGGTTGAGGGTGAAGGTGCTGCTTGCTGCCCGGTCGATAGAGGTACCTTGGGTACCTTAGGACTTAGGTATCCAGTAGCAGACCACTTTTTCCGCTGTCTCTCTCCCTCGCTGCTGACCTTCTTATTGGCTGTTGCGGTCGCTACTGGGCCGCGTATCGGCGCCCACCAAGCTACGACAGATCTGGCTTTAGCGTAAAGTTTATTTCTCGCATGTGGATACGTACCCCTTCGTGCCCCCCTCTGTTGTAAGGTATCTCCACCTTTTCCCACAATTTACCTCTGGGCCCAACTGACCTCACGGGCGGTGGGCCCTGGTCCTCACACACTCACCTCACACTTCACCTTCGATCCTCACTCACTTCCCGGTTAACTCATAATGGAACTCGACATGCCTCTCCTCATCTATTTGCGCGCGCGCGTGTTTCTGTCTCTGTTATGAGTGAGTGTGAGTGTAAGAGTATACGAATGTTCGTGTGTGTGCCAATGGCGTGTGTGTGCCCACAATCAATTCGACACCCAGAGACCGAGTCCATTCTCATTCCCTCTTCGGATACACACACTTCCTTCGTACTTCATCGACCACTCACACCCTCACATCACACATGGGCAGTGTATGCGATTGTGCTTTGCTAAACCATCCCTGAGCGCGCACTTCCCGCCCACGGCCGCACGTCTGCGCTCTGCTGCCCATTGGTGAATTTCCGGGTTTGAAGTACAGATACAGAAGTACTGTACTCTCTCTCCGTACGGATCGAATTTGCCTTTAACTGCTTTCTATCTGTAGCTTGATAACCCATACTCCAACAAGATGACAAGACCTGGCGGCGCGGCAAGAGAGGGAAAAAATACATCATTTCGTCATTGTATCGCAACCCCCCCGGTCATCGGAGGCTGGCCGAAGGTTTCCCTGGGCTGCTGGGCATGCGTTAGCAAATGCAGCGGTGCAGCAGTGCTGAGCCTCGAGCAGAGTTGAGGCTTATAGGTCTGGCCCTACTGGCTCAGCCTGGCCTGGCAATTGCCTGGCTTCTGCTTCAACCTAAGCCTTTCGTCGAATGGGACGACATTGCGCGCGGATGGTGGTGGTCAGGGTTGGGATTGATTGAGGTCGAGCCAGATCAAACCAAACACGCACCACCCCAACTCCAGCCTTCCAGGATCTGGACATGTCTTTTTCCGCCCCTCGTTCTACGAAATACACAATACGGATTTGAACGAGATGGGCATTGGAGATTACCTCACCTTTCTTGGTCTGGGCGTTCCATGGGCTGGCCGACACACAGGCCATGGACATGCCATGGGTGTGGCTATTCCGAGCATCAGCCGGACGGGACTGTTGCTCTTCAAAGTTCCTCGTCGTCTTAGATGCTGGTCTTCAACAGGCCTCGTCACCCGCCTTGCAAGCCCCCCCCGTTCCGAGCCGTCAGGTCAACGCAATATGTAAGCCCAGACGGGATTATCTCGTCTTCTTCATCGTGCCCACTTCATACTCCGTACGCATTTATGGATAGGGCGGACAGGACAGGGCCCATGGTCCATCCCATGAGAGGGTATAGCAGCGTTTTTGGGCATGGCAGGGCAAGCCGCAAGACCATACAAGGTCAAGTGCGGGAGGAGAAGTCGGAGTTTGATTTGGTTGTCATCTTCAACGGATCCGACAAGGCACCTGGGTACCTTTTCCTTTCCCGTAACCTTGGCTTTGCCTTGCCTTGCTTTGCCCATTCCTTGCCGGCCTGCCCTTTCGTCACCTCACCCAGCCCAGCAGCTAACCTTTTCCCAACCCTATGTATGCTTGCCTTACCTTGGCCCCGTTTACCTTTCCCTACCTGCGGTACGGATAAGCAACCCCACCGGGAACCCGTTCGCTGAGATCGAAAGTCGGACTCGAGCCAGCAGCACAAGGCCACAATCACGGGGCAGGAGGTTGCCCACCCACATCGACTGCTACTGCTCGAGGATCTCCCCCTGCAGATATAGTATCCATGAGGTGGGAGAGAGCACTTCCTTCCCGTCACCCTACTCCATCTTCTCGCTCTCCAGACGAGGACCAGAGGAAAGGCAAACCCAAAACCTAGCCGAACGAAGTTCTTTTGGTTTGGGGGAAGAATACTGCCCACAGCTTGGATACTAGCAGAGCGGCGGAATCTGGCTCGCAGCAATTCCTCGCTCGATTTCCGCGGTGACTTGTTTACACCTCGAAGTAACTTGAAGAAGTATGTTACCTCCGCGTTCAAAACACGTAGTTTCCGACTACCTACTGCAGTATGAGGCACACACAGCAAAAAGCACCGTAACCGGGGCATGCGAATGTGGTGGCCCATTCATCACATTACCTAAGGTAAAGAGGCATCTCTCTCTTCTGTTGTTCTCCTAGATTCACCTCACACAAAGTCGTCCCCCACGCCCCCCTGGTTTCACATCACGCCCCCCTTGGCCACCATCCACACCCTCCAGCCTCCACCCCCTCCCTCTTCACGCCCCCCGGCCCCGTCGCGGCCGATGGGTAACTGGCCGCCAAAAGGTACATGTCTACATTGCTGTGATCGAGGGAATCTGCGTACCCTCCCACACCCCGGGTCCCGTCTTGCTCGCTGCCTTGTCTTTCGTCCTCTTCTTCGTCTTCTCCCATGTTCCCTGCCGCTGTCTTGTACCTCTCTTCTGATCAGACCCCTGCCACTCCCCTCCATCCCCAGCCCATCCTTGAAAGATCTGTAAGTTGTTCTCAAGTGAGTTAGTAATTTGCGCCATGTCTGTGCCCAACATCGACTGTCATGTGCCAAGTTACGTCTCTTCACCGATACTCTTGACCCTTCTCTGTCCTAGAAGCACTCGGGGCCCGTTGTACCTACGGCTCCTTGGATACTTTCTGCGCGGCGTGATCTCTCTGCTGCCATCCTTTCCATCCTTACCCTACACCCCTACCTACGGTACACATTCACTCTACGGTACGGTCCCACGTCCTTACCCTCAAGACTGGGCTGCTTTAGCCCGGATGCATGCATCCTCTCGAACCCTGCTCTTATTTTCCCTACCTTATGTACTGCTAGTTTCTAGTGGCCTTCCTCGAGCTGCGAGGTAGAGGTACGGAGTACGGTGCAGTACGTACCCTGCCTCCACCCACGATCAACTCACACACTCCTGCTTGTCCTCAACCTTTACCAAAAGTCACTGGCCCTGTCTCCTTCTCTACCCCCTAGACCCATGCTCGAAAAGATACGTATCGTCGTACTGAGGTACTATGTACTCGTCGCTCCTAGCTGCCCTGAAACTACTTTGCCGCCGGCATTCGAAGGGCCTGTTCTTGTGTCTGCTCTTGTCGTCAATAGATCTTATAACTCCAAGATGCGCGCTCTCTCGATTCCCTTGATTTGATCCCTGCCTTGACAATTCGAACAACAACAACTACAACTCGTCGACCGACCCGTTTCTCTCTTCCTCCACTCAGTCTTCTACCTTAGAGCATGGCCCATTCTGCCGTTGCCAACACTCGATCCAGACCTGTCACCATTACCGTTGTTGCACACCACGCCGACAAGTACGCCGCCGACAACATGACACGATCAGCTTCCGCAGAGCCTACAAAGCCTACCAAGCGCAAGGGTACGCATCACCAGCACCACTCATGAGATGACGACGATGGCGGCGGTTATGCGGTTCTACCCATCTGCCGTCTTCGCCTCGATCACCCCCCACCTCCCTCTTTAGCTCCCACTCTACCACCATCGTCCCCTTCTACGTTCTCATGTACGAACAATATATTGACTTGGACGTCTCGCCCCAACAGGCACCAGAAGCGTCTCAACCTTGACGCCCTCCCAGCTTGCGCGTAAGCGTGCCAATGACAGAGAAGCTCAGCGCGCCATCAGGGCCAGAACGAAGGAGCACATTGAGCGTCTCGAGCGAGAGCTTGAGGAGCTCAAGAGCGAGCGCGGCCGCGATCAGAGCCACACCGTCCAGGAGCTTTTGCGCAAGAACAAGGCACTTGAAGAGGAACTGTTCAAGCTCAGAGAGAGCATGGGCGTTCCCAATGGGCAGTCCTACCCAAATTCAGGTACGGCTGCTTCCATTGCCTCGTCTTCTGCGTGGTTGCCTCTGGTTCGTGCTGACTCGGCTCCAGTATACGACGACAACCTGAGCTCTATTAGTGGCGCAGTCCCCAGTCCTCGCTCCTCGCCATTTCCTTCAAACGGTGACTACAATGTGATGCAAGAACTTGGTCCCTCCTACGTGCCCATGCCGGATGCGTCAGAGTCATGGGGCCCAGGCATTCCTGTTTCCGTTCCTTCCACCGTTTCAAGCCCGTCATCGTCCGCCAACACAGATGAGTACGGCGCAGGCTACATCCCAACGAGCGTCCCCGCGCCGATGATGGATGCCCGAAGCATTCCGGCAAAGATGAGTGAATACGACGATGTCGACTCTGGTAGGTTGTCTTCCCCTATGTGCGGTGGTTGGGTTGCAACGCAATTCTGAGACGCTAACCACTCAGCTTCTAGACGCTGGATACCCTCACAACCACCACTCAATGGGTCATCAGTCGCAGGTTCCCATCTCCCACCATCATCAGCCGTATCTTCATCACCAGCAGTCGTGGAATTCGTATCCAACTCCGGTGTACTACCAACAACCGTCAGCTCATTGATCCGCCAGCCCGGCACCACCCTTTGGGAGATTCCGACCCTCATCGTCCCGCCAACTTGTCGAGTCGACCAGTTGATAGTCGGCTTCATTCAGGACTGCCGCCGACTGTCGCAACTGAAGTCTCTCGAAAACATCCTCCGACCTACTAGGGTCAACGTGAAGAATTTCCTCGAGTATCATCCGGCCTCGCCTTCGACAGAACCTCCACGATGCCAGCTAGCCGACCTTGATCGAGCCGCTTCCACAACAGTCACGGGTCCTGGCGCCAAGCATCCCATGGCTGAGCTTATCACCGCTCTCGTCAACAAGGCAGGTGTCACCAACGTTATTGAGCGCCTGGCAGTCTTCGCCATCACTCAACGAGCCATCGCTTGGCTGGTACACCCGACGCGTGAGGCATATCAAGCCATTGTGCCTGAACTCACGCCGAAGCCGTGCCAGACAAGACTCCCGCATCCTCAGTGGGTTGATCTCATTCTGTGGGCACCTCTGCGCACTGCTATTATCGAACGGCAGGAGCTGTATGCCAACGAAGAATTCCAAGGCGTCTACTCGTCTAGCTTGAGACTGATCAATTGGGCGGCACGTCCAATTGACGCCTTGGTGGTTGACCCGCAATCTGGAGAGATGTGGCTCAGTGACACGTTTACTGCCCACGCAATGCGCCTCGAAAACTGGCGCCTCAATGAGAACTTCGTTCGCCGTTACCCCGAGCTTCGTGGCTGTGTTGCAGTCGAAGGTTCCTGAGACGGATACGACACTTGGCGCCAAATTCTTCACCAATTTACTTGTCCATACTTCACAATTTGGAGCTATTAGTCTCCAATTTTCTTCCACGTCCTCCTTCCTCCTTTGTTATGAGAATGGAGTTTCATTCTAGCTGGAATGGGATGGGACCTCTCAAGGGGGAAACACATCAAACACACGCACACACACACACTTTGCCTGATTGGGTCTGTTGTAGTAGATAAAAACAAAAACGGGTTGGCTTCGTTATGGCATTTCGAATGCGGGCCAGGAGAGTACGGTGGCTGGGACTGCTTCTATTCTTTTGACTCACGACCTTTTTTCTCTCTTCTTTTTTAACCCGCGATACCGGTGCATCAGAAACAGGTTGGAGGAATTCTGCGACCACCCCCAAATTATCACTGCTTTTTTTTGTTATTGTTCGAATTGCTGGGAGACTTGGAGAAAAGGAAGGCGCTTTACAGGGATTTGGAGGGTTTCTTACTATTTTTCGCCTTTTGTTTTTCACCTTTTTGTTTTTCATCATTTTGGGTACCAAACCATCGGGCGGTTTTAGACTTTCTTGGGTGAACGGGGGATGATACACACACATTCTGGGATGGAATTAAAAGAATGTGATTATGGATTTTTTGATGTTTAACCATAGTTATGCGGGCTGGAGAGGAGAAATCCCATGCAGACCACGCAAGAAAGAAACCACAAAATTTGATGAACAGATTTCACACATACAAACGCATACGTACACATTAGAGAGTGAAAGTTTCCTATTGCTCGTGATCTTTTACCCCAAGAATTTGGTTGCAACGTTATGTCCACACGATGATTTCATGAGTTCAATCGAGCACGCGCGCGCGCGGGCGGGAGAGAGAGACGTGGACAGGGGAGGGGAAAAGAGATTCGACAGAAAATGGGGTAGCTAGTTGACTTTGGGTGGTTTGGGACGGAACTCTGTCGTCTAGAAAGGCGGATGATGACAACATAGGGACCGCCGATCATCAACTCTCCCTCGAGTCGTCAGTCCCGTCACACGCAGCAACACTATAGGACTATAGCACCCACCCCCGGCTATCACAATGCAGCAGCGAGATGCCGCAATGGAGAAAGAGGACAGAGACTCCGAGAGAGAGAAAGAGACTTCGTAACCGTTCGTAGCCGAAGAGAGAGAGAGAGAGAGGATGGGGGGTCTCAACTCCGGTTCTAATCCGAGGAACCGACACAAGAATAATAATACCAAGTACACCAAGACCAAATCTTGGAAAGAACGGCAACAGTCGAAAACTCTATGTTGGATACCCCTGTTCCTTCCTCCTCCTCGCCTACGGGATTTGTTTTTGCTGCTGCTGCTGGACGAAAGAATAGTACGTACGGATAGAGATGGGATACCTACCTCTGACAAAAACACACCCACCACACCACACCCCATTACCTATTACGCATCATGGGCATGACATACTACGTATACTCCGTCCTGCAGCTCCTCTCCCCTTCATACAAGTAATGAGACTTGATCCAACCGAAAGGGGGTTAAAACTCTTCAGTTTAGAGAGAGTGTGTCGAAAGGTTACGAAAATTAGAACAACCTTGCCCCGTCTCCAATCTGCAATGTCCAAGACTTGGAAGGTTGCTGCTCGCCATGCAGTGGACAATAGCTTCCAAGACATGTCGACAGACAGTGCCTTTTTTTTTTTTGTGCTCTCTCTCTCTCTCTCTCTCTCTCTCTCTCTCTCTCTCTCTCTCCTCAGACGAGGCATTGGTTTAATCACGGAAAGCCGACTGAGCCGTTTTACACTTTCTCTGCCTCTCTCTCTGTCTGCATGTCTCTCTCTCTCGTTTTGGTCATTAGGTTGGCTAGGCTTGATGCTGGGCTGTCCGATAGGATGCGTTCCGTCTCCTCTGACCATACTCAGCCGAGCCGGGCCGGCGCTGCTGTGCTGTGTTGTCTGAGTGTCTCGCCCTGGCTGCTGACATCACAAGGGCCCATGTAGACTTTGTCCCCATTGAACTGATTGACAAGGTCTAGCTAGGGGACGCAGTTTGACCGCACCACCAAAAACTTAACCATGTCAGCTTTTTCGGCCGGAGACAAGAAAGAGATCGAGACTGGACGACAAGGTAAAGAAAAGTCTATGTCCGGATCGCCGCGCCCATCAGACAAGAGGGAAAAAAGAGAGAGTCCACATTACTTCGTAGTGAATTGATGGGTTGGTGGTGCCAACGAGTTCCAATAAGAGAGGGGGATGGGGTGGGACCCAGAACAGGGACGACGGGTTAACATGGGGCCCTCTCAGACAAGGGGAGGCGCCCTTGCCGCATGGATAGACGCACAAACCGCGCGAGTGCCCGCTCTGCCCGTCGACTCCTCTCCTCTGCCAACGCCCAGCTGTAGTGTAGTGGTGGTTCGGGTGGTTGCTGTTAATGTAAATTCAATCTATCGCTTGGAACGCTTTCCACCTCATATTTCTGCCTTCAATCTCTCTGTTACAAGGAGGCCAATCTCTCTTGCTCTCCTGATCTGAGCAGAAAAAGATCCATAGAAGTAGTACTCCGTACAGTACTACAGGTGACAGAGTAGACGAAATGGTCCGTATCCACTCACACTCCTACACCGGTGAACTCTCTGTTCAATTTTCTCGATCCGAGCGGAAACGAGCAAGGCCAAGATTGAATGGCCGCATCGAAAGACCTGGGAAGAGAAGGTCGCAGTATCGTCAATGTTGCTTTGACCCTCTCTCCCTCTCTTCATCTGGTATGGTTAAGAATGGCGTCTACCGGGGTTATAAAGCAACTGTGTCGTCGTTCCAGTCCCACGCAACACCTGGAAGAAGGTGATGAGCAAAGACCCCCACTGAACTATGAAGAGACAGAAATGAACAACAGAAAACGGTCGACCTGACGGTCGGTCAATCATTGCAGCCATCATCCACAGCAGCAATCAATACATGATTACTTAGTTCCACCGGTTTCCCGAAGTGAACAGCCGGCCCTGGTCCCTGATCGCTGTTCGTGGCATGTATCAAAAATGACAGAAGCCCAGAGCCTCATAGCTCAACTGTCTCGTCGAGGAAGGGATCTTCTAAGCGCATGCTGCTATCTTAAGCGATGTGATAAATTAGCCGATGGGAGAGAGAAGCGACAGGAATCCCCCCGACTTGGCAAAACCATCATAACGGCCAACCAAACGCACATGCTGTTGATCTGAAAGGTGCGATGGGGACGGACGAGGGGGAAGGGTATCGGCCTGGTCGGCGGGTGTCTGCTACACTAGCAGCACTCTTATTCTAATTTGAGAGCAACATGGGACCATTTGATGATCCAAGGACAGCAGCAGGCCGTGTTCAATACCAAAGACCTGGAAAGCAGCGATGTGCGCCAGCCGTGTTGTGCCTCGTAGACGCCGTTCTGGATATGGACCATCCCACTGATGCCCCATCTCCTCCCTTGCCCCTCTCGACATGTCTTCCTTTCCCCATTCCCGGTGGGGGTGCAACAAGATGAAAATGAGTGTGTTTTGGGCTCGGGTGTTGAGGGGAGGAATGGCATGGATATGCTGTGACGTGGAGTGGGTTCGCCTGCAAGATGTCACCTCCACTTGGAGTCTTGGACGAGTTAAGCCTCGCTCTCTCTCCTTCGTGTGCCGCATCCGGGCCCCTCCGTATCTCTGGGCGTGCTCCAGTGCTCCATTTTGTTGAATATGTTGCAACTCGTACAATGTATTATGCGGATTGTCCAAGGAGATGGTTGACACGATGCGGAGCCTTGGATAATCAATCAATTCAAGGTGGTACGGGCGACAAATTGACCGCCCTTCCTAGACTCGCTTCGGTCTGAGCCCTGTCAACAATCGCTTTGCGCCTTACCTATTTTCCGAGAGGCTCCTGATGAGCCACAACCACTGCCACCATCTTTGTCTAGAAAGCAATGCGTACGACGAACGCGCGTGCGCCGAGGGCCAGCCGCCAGAGCCAAGATGCATGAGGTGTTCGCGGGCTGCCGGCGAAGGGACGGAGTAATTAACATAGGCACACCAGTGGAGGGGCGATGGTAGGTAGCGAACGTGGCGGGCCCATAGAGAGAGGAGCCAGACCCAAGTACCAGTTCGTCGGAGGTCTCGAGTCTTGGTTCTGGGTCTCGTAGTGTCCGCTATGCAGAGGTCCGGACTCCGAGAAGCAAGACAATTGATCAAGTGAGATATTGGCGATGTCTATAGACTGCAGTCCACTTCCGCAGCTTGTTTTGCCTTGGAACGATTGTGTTGCCGTCGCCGTCTTGGCCGATCTTGTCTCGCAGCGGGCGCTGACACATGCAGAATAGCGTCACCTGTAAAGTCGAGATCTGGTGTCAGAGAAGTCTTACATCTCAACCCGACTAGGCCTTGTCAACGGGCTAGGCGCATGCCACGAACGCTCCAGTAGCCTTCGCTTCGCGCAAGCCGACATGGTATTATGGGTCGACGTGTAATACATCTGCCCCCTCGGGCCCTCTCTCTATCGGGTATGCAAGTTGCTGTCTCCGCAAGAGTCGAGATGCATCAGGCGATCGAAAACCTGACGACAGGAAGTGCTTTAGAGTTTGGCGCCTTCCAAGGCAAACTCCTGAGAATACGTAAGTGATGTAGACGACCGCGCTAACGATAGATTAAAAGGCAGTGAACTATCAGCGATCAGAGGAGTCGCGGAGTCGCGGAGTCACTTTGACTGAGTGGCAGGGGATGGGCTGGGAGAAAAGGGATACGTACCCAGTCCCAGCCAGGGGACATCGTCCTGAATCGAGGCTTGGCTTGCGGGTTTCGCCCGCTCTGCAGGGTTACCTCAACTCGTGCTGGTCCTGCGTGTGGTGTCTGGCATCGACGACAAACCACAAGTGAGACTGCTCTCAGCAATGGTCAGAAACCAAGTTCTGGGTAAACACTTTGGCGCCAAGCAACTTTGGATGAAGGGCAGTGCGTACGTGGGCATCCATACCCTACGTATCCGTAGTAGGCAGTATTGACGCGTGCAACGGCACTCCGTCAAGGGCAGTGAAGACCCGGCCGGGCCAGGTCCGACAGTACTAGGCTGGCCATGTTCGAACCGGGGATACACCGATGCATCAGAGTTCAACGGCATCAGGACGCCCCGTGGGCTCGGGACGAGTGGGCGGCGCTGATGCGGGCGGACCATTCGCCCGCTTGCCAGGTGCTGTATACAAGCAGGACTAGGTTTCATTTGGCCGTCTTGTTTGGTCTTTTATTTGACAGCTGGCTGACTTGGGTTATTTTTCTCCTCACCCCGTTCCAGGGCCCCTGAAGGTGACGGGGAAGATGATATGAGGATATTGCCGGAGGGTTGGTGCGTCGCCCACTCCGTCCCGCAACAGGATATGGATGAAATGCGACGCTGAAAACCGGGGGAAAGGTTGAGCTGACCCGTCATTAATGGCCCAAGGTTGTCATGGGCTTTGCAATGAACCCTTTTGGCAATGGTCGATGCGGCAGGGTGGATTATGGACTTTCTGTATCTGTTTCCGTATTCGTAGTGCACGGATAGCGTAGGCCAGAACGGGTACCGAAGCAAGGTATCCGTAACTGTAAGGTAGGCTTGGAAATTCGCAAGGCAGATTGTATGAGGTGGGTGAAGAAGTAAAGGCGGCCACACATCTCCAGGTGAGCCTTTCCACTTTGGACAGAAGCTCTGGTGGACTTTGAATTCCCCCCTGCTTTAGAACCTGCAACCCCCCGACTTAAGGTGAATTCTCGCGGAAACACCTGCCTTACCTGAGCTTCGATGTAAGGTACTGTAGCAACAGTTCTCTTTTTTGGTCAAGATTTTGACCCTTTGAGGCGTAGCGCTTTCCAGCTATGAACCTGGGGAGAGATGAGCGCCCGAGCGTTCATCAGGGCCGTGGGCAGCCGCATTAGATAGCGAAGGCATCAGAGTTGATGCTATCGTGTCTGCGCCTTACGCCTGTGCCTTTTGGTGTGCTGTGCTCTTCACTCTGGTGCACGATATCTGGGTTGAGGGTCGTTAGGTGGGAGGCGACGCGAGGCTAAACCAGCGAGGAATTCATCCAATCCAATCGAGTCCCAGTGCAGCATTCTTGCTACCCCGCCGGCCGGGGGCTGGGGTTTGAGCTGGAGCTGGTGCTGGTGGGAGCCAGAGCTGGGAGCTGGGAGCTGGGTCATGAGGGGTTTCCACTAGCCAGCGACTGTGCCCGCTCTCGAGTGTTGCCAGGTCCAGGACTAGGGTTTCGAGAGTCTTGGACGGGGGTTGAGGCACCACCGGAGTCTTTCAGCATCCGGCGTTTTGGCGATGATGTAAAATCGCCGGATTTCACTGCCCCGAAAAGCAGGGAGCCGAATCCTGGACCGGAAAGTGCCGAGCAACTGCCAGTGGTTGAGGATCAGTGTTCCACACACACCACTCAGCTTTGGGGCCCTGGGGGGATTGGTTTGAAGGTCCCTCTGTCCTGGTTCGGGTCGGTATGGGTCTGGCTCATTGTCTGCCCACTCGACCTAGTCGTAAAACCTAACCTACCGGCCGGTTAACTCTCCTTACCCGTACCTTACCGTGCCAAGCACCATCTTTCCGCTTATGGTGTAAAACGGCCTTGTCGAGGTTTTTGGAATTGGGATTGAGTTTGCCGGGGCCTTCGAGCAGACGGCAGGGTTTCGTGCGCGCTCGCAGGCGTCTGTGACGGATTTCCATCCCCCTTGAACGAGGATAGCGGCCTTGTAAGGCAAAGTACTCTGCAGAGGGCTCTTTTTTCGACGCTAAGCTGCTGTGTAGAGCATCTCGAGACGCCTTGCCCCTGGTTCATCGTCGGCCAAGTGCGAAGTTAAGCCGGGCTAGATCGGAGAGGATTGGGGCGGGGGTTACAGAAGATGCTTGCTGGATTCTGGAAGAGGGCGGTTCAAGGCTGACGGAGTGGACGAGGAAGAGGAGAGTGAGCACGGACTGTAGGCTGTCCCTTGATGCGCCTTATCCGTCTGCTCTATCCTAGTATTGTATGTTCGGCTGTGTGAAGCACGGATATGTCCTCCGTGTGGTGTCATGGTGGTCCTTTCTTGGGATCGAGGGAATCGAGTGAAGTGAAGCGGAAAGGCGGAGAATTGCTGCTCACCCTCGCCCTTGCCCTCAACTCTATGCATATCGACGGCGAAAAGCGAAATAAAAGACGGCGTATAGATAGTGTATCAAGATGGTATGGAACCAGCATTTCTCGAACCTACGATGCAGTTGAAAGATGCCCATCATGATGCCGAACGGAGGAGATACCTAGGTGTTGTTGTGTACGAAGTCGGTAGAGTACTATGTAAGTATCCGCACTCTGGAGTGTCGATGATTTGTGGCGCAGAAATACTTTGACCAAAGTACCTACGCCAGGTACCTTAGGTTAGGAACTTAGGAGAAAGCAAGGAAGCTGTAGCGTGACGGCGGCCTGTTTAGGCGATGCAGGACCGGTGCAGGAGCGATGCAGGAGATTTGTTCTAGCGCCGAAGATGGAATTTTCCAAGAGGTGAGGCGATTCCTCCCGTCCGGTGTTGGTGTTGGTGCTGCCATGGCAGACGGGAATGGGAGTGTATCGGGAGGATGAGGGGTAAAGACCGCAGGGTTCCTTACTGGAAGCTACCTAAGGTACGTATCGTGCTCTGCCTTTCCTTCCTCCTTCCCAGGCTTCGCTTCTCTTCTCTTACACCTGAATTCCAAGGCACATACCAACGTCCAACCTCAAGTCCTCAACCCCCAGGGGAGTCAGGACCGTGCCCTCGGTGCCTTAGGTAAGGGAAAACTACGGACCTCAAGTCCGACCCCCCGTGCCCCTGATGACGGGCGGAAAGCACTGGCAGTGGCAGGGTGCTTTGACACTTTCCCGCTCGCACCCACCCAGAGACCGAGGGGGACCGCAGAGACCGAGCCTCGAGTGAGTGGGGGGTTCCAGCCAGTTCCCGGCGCTGCTTCCCAATTCCAGTACGATTGCCCCGAAGAGCCCCAGCCAACCCGAACATATATTTGATAACCTGGTCGTCGCTCTTTGATCGATTCCTGGGAGCACATCACTGGTTCCTCCGGCGGTAGTTCAAAACGAAAAAAAATACAAGCTCAGGGGATAGACAAAAAACAAAGATAAGCTATCCGCACCACCCAATGTATCCGTACGGACATGGCCCTCCGTACGGTGAGGCAGATAAGGCCCGGCACCTTGCTGGCCCTCTGCAAATCCCGCCTTCCGTCATCCACGCGGATACCTTTCCTCGCATTCCATTCGCCCACACCTTCTCGACTTCTCCCCTTCCCTTGACCGCTCCGATGCCGACCCGGGCCTACATGCCTGTTCCCGGCTTTCACTTCTTCAGTCGTAGCCATGAACGGGATATCCATACGGAGTACTCCGTACATAAACCTACAATTGTTAGTAGTGTAAAGCCTTAGACGCTATCCATAAAGATTCATACACGGAACATGTGCAGTGCGCAAAGTTACATGCTATCTAGATGACCAGCCTCGTAGTTGCATGGAGACGAAACGGACTAAGCTATTTGATACCCACCCGATGTAATCCAGGAACTGGATAGTATTCGGTTTGGCGTAACGCATACTTGGCAATCATAACAAAAGCAACGAGACTGGCGAACCCGTCTACAAAAGCAACGGCGGGGCTCGAAGGGATTCTGCAACGTGCAACGTCCAAACCTCCTCCCACAGTCCACCTTGATTTCAGGTTCAATGGATGAATGCTTTGAGCCCATGTTATTGGTTCTCACTGTGCTACCGGCCCATCCTCGCCTCGTTCGACGCGGCCTATCCAGAACCGGAATGTGGCTCTCAATCTCATATCTCTTACTTCTCGGAGAACAGCAAAGTTGACGGTCTCGCCTGAACTATCCAGTCTCGGCCAGGCCGTTGTCCGACAATAGCGTTCATTTCACTTTGTACGGTAGATGGGCTTAGTTTGTGGCAAGACAACACGGGAAGGAGGGCTTCTTTGGAAGCTTCGAAAGTCTTCATGGAAGCTTGTCAAAGTTGAGGCTGGCGCGTGTTTGACAAAAGGTGTCAGACCGTGGCAATCACATGATATGCAGGTTGCTGACAGGAAGGGTGGGCTGAAATGAGAGCTCACTCGTTCATCTCTTGGGACAGGAGGGCTTCACAACCATGGACGGAAAGGGTCCGAGTCACGACCCAAGTCAATTAGAGATAGACTACGGAGTATTCCAGGTGAGTTTATGGTTTCCCATGCTTTTGGTCTAGGTATGGTTTACGTATGGGTGACGGTCTGGTGTGATTTTTGCATGTCAATGTTTGGATACCTCAGGGTTTGAAGATGAAAATTGAAGGGTCGACAGCGACTGGCTAGGTTGACTCAAAGTGACCTTCCTTGTCCTTGTAGGTCGTTGGCTCGGCGTGTCAACGAGCCGTTGTCATCCAAACACTCTGCACACTCGGAAACGACCCATTTTGGGCATAGTCTGGAAAGCTGGGAGACACGTGTGACTTCGGGATGCCGAAAGGAAGAGTAAAGTAGAGGAGTGAAAGAGGGGCCGAAAAGATCGCCATGAGCTACGCAATCCTAAGGTGACGTCCGCATGCATAGATAGTCAACGCGGAGCTTCAAGCTGAGATTCCGGCATATACGTAGAAATACTTGGGTATGGCAAAGTGTACATTGGACGCGATGGGGTTCGTCCAGATACTGTAGTACCTGGCATTGTGATGGCGAGAGTGAGTGAGTGTAAGAGTGGGCAAAACCACGCTCGAGATGCCCGGATGTTTTTTTTTTTAACCCATTCGAAACAAGGCAGCAGAAGTTGCCTCACCAGAGACAACCAGTCGAAGCCAGTAATGTCAACAAGATGATGCTCATTGACGACAATGTATGGTATGCCTGTCGGGGGCCAATTCGTCGCTGTTTCCCTCTCTCTCCCCCCCCCCTCTTCTTTCTCTTTTCTCTGCCTTTCACCTCTTCCATGCTTCCTTCCATTCCTCCTTACCCCGTCTAATCGTGCGGAATCACGGATCACGGATCACAGACTTTGAGGAGAAAGGGAAGGATGCCTTACTTTGTAGAGTATGAGCAGGTAGGAGCATGAACGGGCGCATTGGGCGCAGTCCAATTGCCAGGCGCGCATGGTCAAAACGAGGGGATAGGCCAGTGGGAGGGAAGGAGGAGGAGGGTTGCAGATGGGAACGCGGAGGGGGGAGGGGCACACGAGCGGGCAAACCGACAAGGGTCCAAGGAAAGACATTGGAAAGTGGAAACTCCATCTTGTGGGTATCCTGCCGTTTTCTGGGAGAGCTTCGAAAAGGGAAAGAAGAGGGATCTCCCCTGTCCCCAAGTCCCTGCACGGTCGATCACCACATGCTGACAGGGATCAGGCAAGGCAGGGTCTTGGCTGACGGTTTCTATCAGCCCGCCCAGTCTCCACGCCAGTCCTCATTGGGCTGCATTGACCACGTAGGTGTGGTTCTAGCGAAGTTGAATGGGGTCAAGTATCTTTTTTCGAGGTGTACAAACCGATGCAGAAGTACTTCGCAGTTTGAGGGTACTTGTCTCGAAAGTGGGGTCATTAAGAGCTGATTGCTGGTGCCAGGCGAAAGCCGGAGTGACCCACTCACCGCGCTCCATCATCCATCATCCATCATCCATGGCAATGAGGTAAGATACCTCACCTCACGCTAAGGGAAAGGAGGAGGGTTGAGGGTTTGATGGACTTTGCGTTTTCACGAGACACGCCCGATTATGAGCCAGGTGCTTGCAATATCCAGTCAGCTCTCTCAGCCGTGCAAAGACAACCGAAATGCACAATGCGCCTGCAGACACTCATGCAGCCAAGTATTCGTTGAGCAGTTTTACGATATACAGTAGCCAGGCCTGGGCTGTCTGTTCAAGCTGAACGACTGACTGACTGACTGACTTCACCCCGCAGCGCAGCATCACATCGTAGATGAGTAAGTGATCAAGTACATACGGATACTCACTCTACCCCAGTATAATCTAGAGCCTGTATTTATATGTACTTGCGGGAAATGACACTGCTGATGCAAATGCGAGTGCATTCCGTCTTGATTGGGCCTCCTTGGCATGGCATGGCATGGCCTACAAAGTGGACTGCGCCATTACTCTCATTGGAGAGCCTCTTTCTGAAGTGCTCAGGTATGGAGTGCAGGGAAGTGGCATCAACGTCCACCATTAACCTATCTACGGATACCTGTACTGCAGACTTCCTGGGCTTCCAGCTTGCTCAGTGCTGCTGATGTGCAGTGCGTTTTCGTAATCTGGAACCGTGCCCATTGCTGTTGCTGCTGTTCGATACATTTACGCTTTACCCCGGTCTCAAACACAGCCAGAGTGCGGTATTTTCTTTGCGTCTCTTCAAGTCTATCAGACAGTGATGCGAGCACCTCTTTGGCACGCCCTCCTTTCTGCCCTGTGATACCGTCTTCTAGCCTCACGTTTCGACATGCGGCGTGCTTCTCAAAAAGCGATTCGTCAAACTGACCCCGGTACAAGGTGCCACTCTTTCAAAGTAGCTCATCTCTCATTACCAAATATGAGATTCCCAGAAAAGTAAATGCCCACCATCTCACCTCCCACCGTCGTGCAGGTGGGGTGAAGAATCTCCCGTATCCATCCCAAATGCCCTGGCCGCAGTACGGATATCTTCTTAATCTTTGCAATTTGTCTGTGTGTCAAAGAGGAGAAGCCATGCCATGTCGCCATCTCATTCTCGCAAAGCAAACAAACTGGGGGACCTGGGTATGGGTACGAAGTACGGAGTATACGACACATGTTACCTGCCCAGCCATGGTCAGTCACCGGATCGCTCCCGCTAATATGCTGCTCATCTCATCGTCGTGATCCAGACCAGGGAGGAGGTAATTCGTAGGAGACGCCGCAGAGACGCACATTGATATTTGCCTCTATTCCGTGGAAAGCGAAGGCTTCCAAATGTCCATACCTATCCGTACTTCGTACACTACTTGGCAGGCATAGGAAGGTCCAACTCGAGCCCACATGTTCCGTTCGAACCTGGCTCTCCCCAGTTTCCCATCAGGGCGGAGCTGGAAAGAAGCCGGCTCCAGCTCCCCCTTGCCATCTTCTCCTCTGCCTGCCCGGCCACCTTCCGGTTACCAATCTGCACTGTCCATCATACTAACGTAACCCAGTCCCCCCCATGATCAAGTGTAGTATTCACTTCGTGATCTCCCAAGTGCTCTTGCTATATTAACTCATTACTTGGTGCTATCCAATGCGGTTTGGTCTGATGTATCGGACAAGAAGACGGATGTTGCTGCCATCCTCGCCCGCAAATGCGCTACGCCCTGCCCTACAGATTCCCATCCACGGTCATGCCTGTCCTGTATTGCCTTTCTTCAACCACCCCCGCCTTGCCTCTTTATGGTTTACCAGCACTGCCTTGCTCCCGTTCCTTTGCCTGCCCGTTACCCTGGGACATGCTCTTCATTTCTCCGTCTTCTTCAGCAATCTTCCGGCCTGGATGCCCCCTGCGCGTGAGGTCCCAAATCAGCTCACATTACCTCATGTCAACTCACTCTTGTGCTACCACTTGGCCAGTTAGCTTAGCTTTCACTGCGACTCCCGAGTTTCCAGGGACGGAAGCTTCTCCTTCCACCTGATGCGAACCCGGGCCATTCCTCGCTGCAAATTCTCCCGCCTTTCCCGTCCCGTCTTCTGCACTACTCCGGTTACGCATCCGTTGTTTAGCAAACCCCCAGCCCAGCCCAGCCCACCCGGGGAGGGAGGTTGATTGGTCTTGGCATCCGTCCCAATTACACCATCACAACGGAGTAGGTACAGCTCTGCTCAAAGTTTAAATAAAGAAAGAATATAAAAAAAGGAGCAAACGTCAAAGCATCAACCTTTCTATTACTCCATGCCACGGTAACTAAGGTAGTCCTTTGGATACTACATCGTTGAGCACTATACATCCCACTCAGTAGCGGCTCCAAGGGCCCAAACGACCTACGCCAAGGCCAATCGCAACCTCCCATCGGTCGTGCTCGGGATCTGTTTTCCCCCCGACCCTGGCCGCAGTCACGGTCACGGTCACGGTGCTAACACTGCTGCGGCCGTGTGGACGGACGACGGGCGGCGTGGGCGTGGGACGTGGGCGTGAACGGGGAACGTTTCGTCGGAGCGCCTCATCCTATCACCGTTTGATCTCTTGCCGGCCGCCTCGCCGGATCCCTACCTAGGCACCGTCAACACGTGCTACAGCCTACCAACGCTCAATTGTTCGTAACTTCGTGCCCTTTTCTCTGCCGGACCTTGCCTGCCTTAGCTACTAGGCAGGCACGATACCCTACGGACACATCATGGTTGCCTTACCTCGACCAGCTTTACCTAATACGGACCGTTCTAGCGTCAACTATCCAAGCCCGCTCCCCCCCCCCACTCCTTGCCCGACCCCTTCATCGCTTCCCTTCCTTCCCATCGTCGCGCTCCCAGGGGACCGCGCCTGAGATATTCGTGCGAATACGTACCTATCGGAACATGCTATGTGAAGGTGAGGTGCTCACCTTGCCGCGCTTCCCCTTGCCCTGTCCCGCCCCTTCACCTCACCTTTCCTCACCTTGAGGTATTCCGTACCCTACCTTCCCACTCACCTTCCTTCACTCCAGACCGTTCCCCCGACTTTCTTCCCTCCATCCTAGCGCCATCTCGGGCTTTGTTCGATGGTTCTACCACGGAGTACTATGGATTCATGGGTGCGGCCAACCATCATCCATTCACTGTGCCCGACAAGTCCGCCCCTGTCACCACCATCAACACCACAATTACTCACCCCTAGAAGGAAAAACAATCGCATACAGGTACTGCGTGGGGAAAGCCCCCGAAACTTGCCCGTCCTAGCCACACGGTCCTCGGCCCCGAATCGAATTGGATCCCTTGTGGAAGCTTGATCAAAGCGCCATCTACTAATCGAAATCATCGACGACGACCGCAGCGGTCATGTCTCACTCTCAATCTCGCAAGCAGCCCGTGAGACGCCATACTCCTCCCCCTTGTTCGTTTCTCCGGTGCTTCACAAGACCATCTGCTCAGTACTCTCGCTGGTCAGAGCGCAATCTCAGTCTACAGAAGTCCCTTCTCGACCGCTGTCCGTCCCAACAAGGGCCCATGGCTGAAGCCTGAGGGGGACAATCCATGGTCAACCTCATGTGGTTTGGAGGCTCCGCTGCAGTCCACGTGCTGCCTTAACAACAGGCAAGGTGTGATGGCTGTGTTGCAGCACTACGCGAAGCGCCTTGATGCCCGATTGCACTCACTCTACATTGGTACGTGCCGGCGTCTTTGATGTTGCGTTGGGGTACGACGACGGAATCATGAGCACTGGTACCCGTACTGCGACGCATTTCCTTCCATCCGCCGTGGCCACTTCTACAAGCCCAAGATATCACCGAAGGTTCTTGGATGGCATCGGGGTGTGCGCCCGTATTCGACTGCTTGGTTCATGCGCACAACACCACTCACACATCTTGTGGTATACACACATACACACACGCTCACTCACACATATAGCGATGCAAAAAGGCACGAGAGAGGTCGAATGCCCCTCCCTGCGAGTCAGCCCCGTGCAGAATCTGATGCATGGAAACATCTGAGACAGGCGGCTCGGGTTCGTGTGATGGCCTCAAAAGTACGACTTTTTTATTTTTTGACAGATAGCGCCGCCCGCGACACGTGGCTGCAATGCACGTCTCATGTCATGGGGAAAAGCGTATCTGGAGCCCTACCACGCTGCCACGCGTTATGATCTCGACCCTTCGCACGCCTCGCCTGCTTTCGTGCAGAAGGCTAATACTGGCAAAATGGACAAGGAGGGTATCTAACGAGCCGTTATAGCCCTCTTCCCCCCTTCCGCGGACATGCTAAGTTGCTTAACTTTGGTTCGTGTTTTGGCGGCTCGTGTCTTCGGGCAGGCAACGTTGATCGCTGCGAAGACTCTCGTCGTGGTCGTGGTCAGTGCTACCTCATGCACATGGCAAGCCACAAGCCGCACGACGCACGTCGTACACCGCTTCCAAAGTTCAGCAAACAAACTGTTCTGGATAGGCGAGACGAAGAAGGTCTCTGCTTGATTCATGAACCGGCGTAAGTTAATGTCACGCTGCAAGTACTAAAGTGTAGGGTACTCGGCTAGAGACACTCAGCTGCTATGTACAACCAACACCCATCCCGCCGCCGCCGCCGCCATCCAACGCCATCACCACACACCATCATCGTCATCAAAGTTACCTTCCGCCATAGCATCTTTACCATGTGCTTGGTGCTGCACAACCCATCTGACGCCACGGAGATGGTGTGCAGAGATGGGAGGGAAACGTGGCAACCCTAAGTTTCCCTTCGCGGCGCTTGGAACTGCTGTTGCGGGCATTCTATGCGACGTGGCGTCGTGTTTCCATTTTGGTGCATCCGAAGAAGAGACAGAAGAAAAAATGAGACTGTGTTGAGTGATGTGGGTGGCTTTCGAAGCACCCATGGAAGCATTTTGGAAGTTTCGAAGAAGGCGAAGAAGGAATTTACACTTTGACGCCGTCGCTCCAAGTTCGGGGTCTGTTCGTCTTTCGCAAAACCAAACTTACCAAAAGTTGTCCCCCTTTACCCCTCCACCCGGGAAGTCAAAGACAAGTCCCAGCCCAAGGCAAGGCAATACCCGTGTGTCACAACATAGGGGGAAAGGGAATGATGTACCTACCTTGGTGTATGCTTGGCTACTGGTACCTACGATGCGATACGCCGCTCTCCTGGACGTCCGCGGACCCTTTTCGTTCCCGATCGCGGACGCGGGCGAGATGAAGGGGGGGAAGCTAAGGGTACTGGTATTGCCATATGGATTCCAAACCACCCTAAGGTACGGATAGTCTACCTACTTTTGCTACTCACAAGCGTCGAAACGCCCGGCCGTCGCCCGCGTCCCCGATGGCGATGAGATGTATCCGTACGGGGAGTGGATATCCGGCAAACGGCTAGTGATGCGCCGGTACTCTGCAGCCTCTCACTAGAGAACCATAGAACTCGGCCGGGTGGGGTTTTGGATCGAGATGGCGTCCTGCAACTTGTCAGACGGGCTTTACTCTGTCTGGCCTAGTTGGCTTCTATACACCCTTCTAGAAGACTTTCAGAATGGAAGGGAAAAAGCAACAAAGCACAAACTTCGGAAAGCCATGGTAAGGTATCGGTACATTGGCCTTCCATCCGTAATTTTGCCCATGAATGCCCTGCGTGTGGCATATTGCGCATGTGCGTATGCGGTATGTGTATGCGTACGTGTGTGTGTGTGTGTGTGTGTGTGTGTGTGTGTGTGTGTGTGTGTGTGTGTGTGTGTGTGTGTGTGTGTGTGTGTGTGTGTGTGTGTGTGTGTGTGTGGGAGACTAGGGATTTGAGACTTGAACAGCGGAAAAGAAACATGTGCAATCGCTTCCAACTAATTGGTCAATGGGGTTTACCGTTTTTACCATTTCCCGTCTCTTTTTGCGTATCACTTTCCCGGCTTGCGGTTCCGCACTCGCTCGTCCCCATGCCCCCCTCCCCTCTCCCTCCTTGATGAGAGCATTCGAATACATGATACTTGAACTGTAAGCGTGAGCGGGCTTGCAGTTGCAGACACCGGGGGAAAACAAGTCACCGCCGCTCTTGCCGCACCGTACTTTTCGGCGGTCGGGAAACGACGCCCACCCACAAGGCAGGCGCCCCCAACAGCCCACACCGCTCGGCATTCTCTCCTTCCGGCTTCGTGCCTCGTCCACTTCGGTCATCTGCCCGGGGGGCCACCATTCCCATTCGCAACATCGACGAAAGATCCCCTCCCCGCCCCCCTTCCCATTCACCCCCGGCCATCCTTTCACGGAGCTGGCGCCCTTTGCAAGCCATTATTTCTCAAGAGAGGAGTGGAAATCCGGTACTAGCTGGACTAAACGGCTCTATGCCGAATGGGCAACGTTGTGGCCGGAATATTAACAGTAACCTACGGAGTACCTAGTGAGCAGGATGGCGTTCGTGTTGGAGATGGGGCGCCGTTGCGGTTTTCTCATTCCGCTGGGCGTATTGATAGTAGTATAGCGGAACACCTAGTCTGTAGACACCCCTTGTCGGAGCGCCCGATTTCCTTTCTTTTCCTTTTGATGCACCCTAGAAATACGATATCCGAATCGGACTTGTCCTCCGATTCACAACGGTGTCCCGCGGTGGAGGGATGATGGTATCGTTTCCCGGGGGGCTGGAAGACGGGGGCCCGCGGGAGTGCAAAAGGCTGTCAACCTGTTTTTTGGTATACCTAGGCTAGTGGTGATGTTGAACAAAGAGCAAACTTGTGTGGTGAGGCTAAGGGGGCTGTCCGTCTGTAGTCTGTAGATGTTCCCCTGTGATAGACCGGGGCTACTGACATTGTGATCGATCCCAGCCTCATCGTGATCTGGAGCTGGTATCACAGGCCATGACGCGTTTCGCTATTTGCGGGGTCTTGTGTCTTGGTGTAGAAGTGAGAGGAAACGACGTAAGAGAGGGAAATGCATGATGGTGTTGCTGCTCAACTATGTGCGCCGTCAGAGGCCCATACATCATCCCCTACGGAACATCCTTGATGAGACTCTGAAGATGTGCAGCCTTATGGTCAACCAAGTCGACTGTGCCCAACAAAGTAGACGGCGAGCGGTGCGCGTCAGGCAACTCTGCTTCTGGGAGTACTTCTCAATGCTTTGGCTGACACATTATGGATGAACCCGACCGCCCCTTTCTTGAACCAGAGGCATAGGATAATGAGAACTGCGTGAAAGTATCACTGGGAACTTGTGGCTTGCAGTGAAAGTGGTCTATCAAATTGGTGGCCCATTGCGTCCAAGCAAAACAATGCTAATTGAGCATGGGTTTGGTTGAACATACCCCCTTTCAACCCCTCCGTGTTGTATCGTGACGTTCCAGAGACGAAGATCAGTCGAGGCAGGCAGCATCAACTAACGCAACTTAGAGGAGAGAGGTGACATGGGACTCACTGCCTCCAACTCCATGGGGGGGAGGGCTTCGCAAGAAGTGATGCAAGGAGTGATTCGCAGCTGGTAGGGCATACCCGCCGTCTGCACGGTTATCGTCACCTCATGGCAGCATCACATGAGGGGTAGCTAGAAGCTCTGAGATTGTTGTCTTCAGCACTTCAAGAGGCGTCATTCAGCCCCAAAGGCGAGTTCCCTATTCTCGTCTCAAGTGAACCACCACGGCAGAAAGTCTGGCAGTGCCCATGATTTTGGATGTTTCAACGAGACGGACTGCTTGTAGTGGTCAAACAGTGGTCTTGTCTTAGCGATAGTGGTCTAGATAAAGGTCATTCGAACGTCATAGCAGATTTTTGACTGCTGGCACAAGGCTCTATCTCATTGAGATGAGTCGTTTCCCTCTTCAAAGATTGCTATGTAGAACAGAGGCATATTGCTGTGTTCGTTGAGTTTGCTAAAGAAGTGGCATACAATACTATGTTTCTTCGCTTCACAACTAAACAGAAGCGCTATGCGCAAACTAGTCGTCGTCATTTTCTTCCTGGAGGCAGCGGCCATGGTCTTGGCTGATTTCTGAGCGGGGGAAGAGCAGTTTTTGCTTAACGAGGCTGCCTCGTGTCCAGTCGGTACATATCAGGGCCTACTTCATCTCAGGAACAAGGAGCAGAACGACTGCAGCTTCTGAGTGGTTTTTGTCGATCGTGAAAGGCAAAGACATGAATCAACCAGTCGCTACACCGGCCGGCCCACTTGCTTGGTAGAAATTGCTTCAATGTCAAATGGAGGTCCCTGTCGGGAACCCAGGCTGACAACCAGACTGTCGGTACCGCCCAGGTCTCTCCGATGTCTCGCCAGCCACAGAAAGGAACCGCAGCTGGGTTGTCGCATGGTCTAAGGTATGTGTGTAGTATATAAACCTGCATGGATCGCCCTCACATACGTGTCCCGGCATCGCGGGAGGTGTGCCTCGGAACCAATAGTGATCATCAGGAACCATGACGAAAGCAGGGAGAGATCGATGGAAGGATGTGAGTTGTGATGGTTGTCTCAAGTATCGAGACATTCTTTTTACGCAATGTGTGGTGGTCTGGCCTATATCCGTAAACCCGTACTCTGTACAGCGGCAGAGAGAGAGAGAGAGAGAGAGAGAGAGAGAGATCTCCAACCCCCGCCTTACGGGTACAAGCGAGTCAATCATCCACCCAGCGGGAGTGAATATGGGAATAGTATCCGTACACACCATGCCCGGGTTTCGACAAATGAGCAACAGGCAAGATGTCACAGCAGCTGAGAGACTCCATTCCGTCTCGCGAGCATGTGGTCCGTTCCCACTCCCGAGTCCCGCCTGCCGAGGTGGATCTTGTTGAGGAACATGATTGTGGACATTGACATCTACATAGAACGAATCAGCCATCGTGTGGAGGTGTCAGACGCGAATTTGTGGTGTATTCGGACCACCCCGCCTCGGGAACCAAGCCGGATGAGCGGGTGACTGCATGGCCTCACGCTGCTGTCTCGGCAAGAGAGGCCCCTGGGTGGCTGACGACACAACCACTATCCTTCTCAGTATTTTGTCAATTTTAGGTACATGATCTAGAGAATGGACTGGAAGGTCTAGTTAAGAAGAGTAATGATAGGAAATGTGATAGAGGTAGTTGTAACAGGTAATGGTAGAAACAGAAACTCAGGATGTGCTGAACGGCAGATCATTCTGTCGCCCACCGAGCAGACCCAGTAGTGAGGCGGACGGTCGTTGGATCCTGTTTATCGGCTAGCCATTTCATGTTATGCCCAGTCTACAGCCGCTCACCGAGATGGAGATGATGGATACTCGGGAAAGATTCGGCATTGCAGTATGGAGATACAGCGGAGCTTGCCGATGAAGACAAACATCTGGGGAAGCTGGGGAAATGATCATCCGCTTGATGATCATCAACGCAGGGCCGTGGCGCCTTACCAGCTTGGTCGGATGTGGTAACTCGGGCCGTTGGTATGACCGCTCGACCACGGCGCGACTCCGTGGACCGGCTCTCCGGGGCAGAGAGGTTATGGAGTCCCATCCCGACGATGCAGCACAGACGTCCGGGCCGTATTCTCGTCGAAATAGGGCAGATGCGGGGCATACTGCCGGTTCAGCGATGCCGTGGTTTCCCTTGGCTCGGCTGTCACGCGCGGGAACGCAACAACTCAGAGATGATGACGGCAAGGAGATGACAAATGAACCCCCCTCTCCAAAGATGTGCAACTCCAAGAGTCTTTTGTCGCTAGTCAGAATTAAGGCAGTCAATCTAGGTCAGTCTCCATTGCTACAAAGACGGTGGATATCATCCTCCCACTGTGTCTTCCTGGGTACCACGATCATCAGCGTCCGTCTCACAAGCAAATACCCAGTCACCCGATGACAGGACTGTGACACTAACATGAAACCTACGAACGAGGCCTTGTGAGCTTGTGTTTGCCTGGTTGTGCCATATCTGCTGCCCGGGGAGTATCGGCATCGTATCATGAGAGACCGGCTCCGCTTCCCTTAGCCGGACGCCAATTCCTGCATCGTTTCGACAGGAGAAGTAATCACTGTCCGCGAGATGATGTTTGCACTGTCCAAAATAGCGGCAGAACCCCGTGGGAACATCGCCAAAAGGCCGGCTCGTCTCCGGCAAAACTGAGACATCCGCACGCCGTCTCCGCGCCAAAGTTGTCTGACGGGATTTCGGGACGATGTTCAGCTTCGCCTCCAAGGTCAATGAGCCAATCCGGAGCGGATAGGTGGACACCGGAATGGAGAAATGACGCTAGAGGGGAGAGCCACCCGAGCTTCTCCCGGTGAATGAGGGGCAAGAAGCTCCCACAACGTGGGGTAGAAATGCGCTACCGACCGTATGGGCGGTCGCCATTGACGCACCTGACCGCGTCTTTCAAGGTCTCGGGTTCCTGACAACTCTAGGCAGTCCTTCCTTCGTTGTCTGCCGTTCATTTGTATTGGTAATTGGAAAGAAACAGCTCTCCACATATCTGCTCCCCGGCTGAAGTGCGTGGAGGGGCAGGACAGCATGACGGGAAAGAGAAGCAGCCGCTGCCGAGTTGCTAACAGATGCTGCATGCGAACATGGCCTTCTGATTGCCTGTCGTTTCCCCCGCCGTCTTCCCGGCATCGGTCTATCTTCCTCCATCTACCTAGTTCGTCACGCAGAAACACGCGGGACCTCAAAGTGGGTTGCTGGCCTCTCTTCCCGAGCTAATGTACCTTGAAGCCAAGTGAGAAGAGGAAATCCAGTCCCGCATCGTCCGGAGTTGCCCCGTTGTCCACAAGCTCGTCACTCTTCTATTTAACAGCGTGACCCTGCAGCGAAGATGATTCCAGTTCTCTCTCCTCTCGATCCTGGTCCTCGGCGCTTTCTATCCTCACCTTTTCTTGTCTGTTCCTCTTTACTGCCTGTCCAAGTTTGAACCCGGCCTCTCGTAGAATTGAAGTCGCTTATTAGGATACCCCAATCCATTCCTACTGATCAACGCTTCTCGAGCTCACAATGGCCGATTTTGACGTCGAAGACGTGCTCAAGAAGCTCACCGTCTCCGAGAAGGTTGACCTTCTCGCCGGTAAGACTGATCCCGCATCTCTTCTGGGTTTACTCTTCACTCTTATTGTGGAGTCTTCACCACAAGTCTCAATTGGATCCAATGGCAAACTGACGTTCGATTCTCACCAGGTATCGACTTCTGGCACACCAAGGCTCTGCCCAAGCACAACATCCCCTCAATCAGACTCTCCGACGGACCCAATGGCGTACGCGGTACCAAATTCTTCAATGGTATCAAGGCAGCCTGCTTCCCTTGCGGAACGGCTCTCGGTGCCACCTTCAACACCGAGCTCCTCGAGGAGGCCGGTAGGAAGATGGGAGAGGAGGCCAAGCTCAAGGGTGCGCACTGCATCCTAGGCCCTACCATCAATATGCAACGCTCCCCTCTCGGTGGCAGAGGATTCGAGTCCATCGGTGAAGACCCGGTATTGGCTGGCCTTGGCTCCGCTGCCATTGTGAAAGGAATTGAGAGCACTGGCATCCAGGCCACGCCAAAGCATTTTGTGTGCAACGACCAGGAGCATAGGCGCAACGCCGTCCAGAGCATCGTGACGGAGCGCGCTCTGCGTGAGATCTACGCGCTTCCTTTCCAGCTGACCTTCCGTGACGCCTCGCCGGGTGCCCTCATGACAGCCTACAACGGCGTCAACGGCACATTCTGCAGTGAGAACCATGATCTGTTGGAGAAGCTGGTCCGCCAGGAGTGGGGCTGGGACGGCATGATCATGAGCGATTGGTACGGAACCTACAGCACCACGGAAGCGGCCAACGCCGGTCTCGATCTCGAGATGCCTGGCCCCCCTCGCTTCCGCGGAGAGCCTCTCAAGTTCAACGTGTCGACGGATAAGGTCCGCCAGCATGTTCTCGACGAGAGAGCTCGCGCTATGCTCAAGTTCATTAAGAAGGCTGTGGCTACCGGCATCCCCGAGGGTGCCCCTGAGAAGACGGGTGACACTCCAGAGACTGCCGAGTTGCTGAGGCGCATTGGTGGCGAGAGTATTGTCCTGCTCAAGAACGATGACAACGTGCTCCCCCTGAAGAAGGACAAGAAGGTAAGCATGCCCCTGAGTAGACAGGTATCCCGCGAAAGCACACGCTAACTTTGAAACTTACAGACAGTTGTCATTGGCCCCAACGCCAAGATCGCCACCTATCACGGAGGTGGTTCCGCCTCCCTGGCCGCCTACTACTCCGTCACCCCCTTCGACGGCATCAGCAACAAGCTCACCTCGCCCCCAGAGTACACAGAGGGCGCCTACTCCCACAAGCTCCTGCCCCTCCTCGGTAACGTCTGCACGTCAGCCGATGGCAAGGCCGGCATGACCATGCGCGTCTACAACGAACCCCCTACGGACCACAGCCGCGAGGCCATCGATGAGCTCGTTCTCACCAAGACGGAGCTGCTCCTGGTTGACTACTATAACCCCAAGCTCTCGTCCGACCTCTGGTACGCCGACTTTGAGGGCTCCTTCGTCGCCGAGGAGGACTGCACCTACGAGCTCGGCCTCATCGTCTGCGGCACAGCCAACCTCTTTGTCAACGACAAGCTCGTCATTGACAACACCACCAAGCAGCGCCAGGGCGACGCCTTCTTCGGCGCCGCCACCGTCGAGGAAAAGGGCCGCGTCGAGCTCAAGAAGGGCCAAAAGTACACCTTCAAGGTCGAGTTCGGCTCGGCCCCGTCGTCCAAGCTGCAGGGCGACAACGTTGTCTTTGGCAGCGGCGCCCTCCGCATGGGCGGGTGCAAGGTCATTGACGACAAGGCCGAGATCGAAAAGGCCGCCGCCCTTGCCAAGGACGCCGACCAGGTCATCATCTGCTCTGGTCTCAACGCCGATTGGGAGACGGAGGGTAACGACCGCGCCGATATGGACTTGCCGGGTTACCTCAACAAGCTCATCTCCGCCGTTGCCCAGGCGAACCCCAACACGGTCGTCGTCAACCAGTCCGGCACCCCCGTGCGCATGCCATGGGCCAAGGATGTCAAGGCCCTCGTCCAGGCGTGGTATGGCGGCAACGAGACAGGCAACGCCATCGCCGACGTGCTCTTTGGTGACGTCAACCCCTCAGCCAAGCTGTCTCTCAGTTTCCCCGAGCGCGTCCAGGATAACCCGGCCTACCTTAACTACCGCGCCGAGGCCAGCCGCACGCTGTATGGCGAGGACGTCTACATTGGCTACCGCTACTATGAGTTCCTCGACCGTCCCGTGCTCTTCCCCTTTGGCCACGGACTGTCGTATACGACCTTCTCCTTTGGAGACCTCAAGATCCGCGATGCCGACGGCAAGCTCACCGTCGACGTGACGGTCAAGAACACGGGCAAGGTGGCTGGCGCCGACGTCGTCCAGGTGTACGTCGCGCCCAAGCAAAAGGCGAAGATCAACCGCCCACTGAAGGAGCTCAAGGGCTTCGCCAAGGTGTCGCTTGTGCCTGGTGAGAGCAAGAAGGTGACGGTCGACATTGAGACCAAGTACGCCGCCAGCTACTTTGACGAGGAGCGGCACCAGTGGTGCGCCGAGGAGGGTGAGTACGAGGTCATTGTCAGTGACAGCAGTGTCATTACGGACAAGGCTCTCAAGGGTAGCTTCAAGGTCGGCGAGACGTACTGGTGGTCTGGGTTGTAAAAGATTCTCATGTTTCACGATGTAAAAGCAGGGAGCATTGGCTGGGAGAAAATGTTTAGGACATGCAAGATTGAATGAATGAATGATATTTATGCGTGATAATTTGCTTCGTAGTCCAGCCAGAAACGTCCGTTTGGTAGAGATAGTAATGCTCACATATGTCCGTCGCAATATCAATGCTGTGTCGTATCTTTCGTGTCATTCATAATCGTCACACGCCAATCCTAGGCGATATGTTCAAGGAAATTTTCAAATCACAAATACCCCCCACCTGCCAATGATCAAGTGCAAGTCCGGCACTGCTCCTACGCCGCGCTTTCGCTCTTCTGCCTTATATCCTCATCTGAGCTCGGTCTTATACTAGACTCGACTGGTTGTGAATGAGTCGGAGGTAGCCAGGGTTCGGCATCGCCCATCCTTTGGACAGTCGTGCCCGCATTCCCGGCATTCCTCATACCGGATTCGAGCTGACGCTGATAAGAGATGCGACGGAGGCGTTCGGCTTCTGCAGGTGTCAAATGGAGCTGTTTGTCTCGTTAGTTCTCCTGTCTTGTAGGATTGGCTACGGGTAACACGCGACAAAAAGTGAGAGGGTACAGGAGGAGGAGGGAAGAGGGGAAAACACACATAAAGTTCAACGAGTATAGCGTGGATCGCCAAAGCCAGCCATGATCCAGCATCAAAGACGGACGTGAACCCGGCGGAAATCTCAACAGGCTGGTGGGCGGTGATGCTGGCATGGACGAGGACGCTGAGGCCGGGGTTCTCCCCAGAGTAGTACCCTTCGCAGCCAGGATAGAAGTCGAGGACTTTGTTCTGGTCGTGCCGAAAGATGAAGTCCACCATGGCACACTGTTTTACTTGATAGTAGTTCGATTCGGCTGTGATCATGGCAGCGAGATAGCCGATGATGCGCATAGTGATGATGAAGCCGGCCTAATGGAGAAGAGAAGCTTCATTAGCCCATATGCTCACACAAGAGTGAATGCTTTTTAGGCGACAGGAGGTATCTTACATATACCCAGGCTCTAAGCATCCATGCTCGGTGCTGCTCGATCTGGAGTTTCTTTATGTTGTAGATGGCAAGGGCCAGGGCGCCAAGGAACATGAGGCTGCCGGTGCCCGAAACAGTCTGCATGCTCACGCCACCGCCAAACGTCCGCCGCGCAATGAGAAAGACGCCAATGATGCCCACGACACTCAGGAGAACAATGAGGTACCCATTAAGGCGATGAAACAAGATGGCCTTGTGACGGATGATAGGGACGAACTGCAGGCAGGCGAGGAAGCCTGCTGGTATGATACCCGCGAGATGCATGATGATACCGATCCGTGCCGTGCCCTTCTGAAAATAGTAGCACTCTCCCGGGAGCGCACGTGAGTTGTGTTCCGGATTGCAGAAGACGCCGTTGAAGTTGAGGTACATCATGCGGGCGAGGGTGAACCCCATCATACCGCCCGCGGTGATGACAAAGAGGGTGAAGTTGTAACCCTTTTTGAATCCGATGGGGTTATAGACCTTGCGCGCCAGGGCAACGAAACCGTTGGCGGGAGGTTTTGGGCATGGAGAAGCGGAAGACATAATGGGAGGCGAGTCTTAGGACGAGAGGATGGGGTCGAGGCCACGTGAGATCAGGGTGAGCCGAAGTGAGACAGCGCCGCCACTTTTCTCGCTTCCTTCTGCTGAAGAACGGGGGAAATGAGTTGCTCAATTACAGATGGACCTGGGCTAGGTTTAGGAAAGGGGAAGGCCCTCATCATATATGTTCAAAAGGAAAAATCCGGCGTTGAACAATCACCGGGATCTTGAGCCATGGCCACAAAGGAAGGGAGGGGCTGCCTTTGTCAAAGCCGGGGTCAAGAGAAAACAGCAAGCAAGAGGGGGCGATGGCTTCACTCGATTGTCCACAGCAAACCAAGCAGGGTAGGGCAGGGCAGCATCAACCACCGGATCTCCCGTAAAAGGCGCATCATGGGGGCCGGGCACGTAGGATTGGCCATCTTGACGGCGCACCGAAGCCATGTCTCACGTGGTGCATGGCACCATGACATGCTGACAAGCTAGACTTGGAGAGTGCTTCCACCTTAAGACGTTGCAACTTGCCCAACGCATTTCCCTCGGCCGAGTAGGTGGGAATAAATGGCCCCCTCGAGGACTAGAGCATACTTCTAGACTTGTGATGGGGGCTGCTCCAGCCTCCCCGGTGCCCGGCGGCTAGATGTCAGAGGCTCGAAGCATGGGGGCCCCCTAGAAGCAGGTTACAGGTGGCGTCCGGGAAGGCGTTACGGGACCTGAACTAAGAAGCCTACCGGTAAAGCCAACGCAGCCAGCGGCAGAGGATATCATTGAAGGCAAGGGGACGAAATAGGCTGGACCTCGCGAGGCCTCTCGCAATCGTAAGCAGTCTTCGGCCATCTCTAAGTGCCTCTTGGCGGGTGGGAAAAGGCTTGACGTGCATGTTGGCGTGTGTTGTGCGGCATGCGGCCGTACGGACGGGATCGAATGCAGGCGGGCCGCATTAGTGCCGATACGGAGGGCGGGGCCGGGTCAGGAAGAGGCGAGACGTCTTGATGCGCCCCGTAGCGGTGTGCCTGTGCCTCGTCGAGGTTCGTCACATCTATGATGCATCGCAGGACCGCATAGGCGGAATCCGGGCCTTGGTGTGCTTGGAAACGTTGCAGGGTGGTCTGCGAGTAGCGAACCGTGCTGCAGACGGCTGCTCGTCTCGCATTACGCCGCCGCTGGCTGCGTACCTCCAACGACCAACAACGATGCCACCGCCGCCGTCTTCCCGCGCAGGTTAGACATAAACGATTAGGCAGCTAGGCGACGGGTAGCGAGCGGCTTGGTAAAAGGTCAGCAGGAAATGGGCCCAGGTTGACTGAATCACATACCTCCAGTACCCCTGGGAGGCGGGGGATATAACACATCCATAGTCCCGACTCCCAGAGAAACGAGGTTCACCATCCATCGTCTGCTGAGCCGCATTGATCTAGCAACTAGACAGTAAGATGGCGGTTTGAGATTGGCAAACGATCAAGCAAGGGGTTTCTATCCGGTCATTTGCCCACTTGTTTTCGGTGGACCGTGACCGACCTAGACCGTTGATGGGCGTTGAGGATTGGAGCTTTGACGTGGAGTGAGGAGGTCAGCAAGCATGGCAAGGAGGGGAAACCGATTTTTGGTCAAAAAAAAAGGAAGCATAAAGTGGCCCATCGCCGAGGCTTCTTCTCCTTCTCCTTCGCATCGCGCCATCAGATTTTTCCACACTAGTGTCTGGTCGATCGAGATAGGAAGTAGGAATCCGTATGGGTAGTTGCGTGGGTATGATCGAGTATCTGATTGTACCTTAAGAAAAAAGTGAGAGACAGAAAGAGTGAGTGAAAGAAACGCGAGAGAGAGGCACAGAGGTTGGAAGGTATCCGAGGTACGTACCCTTCCGGCCGGATATCCACCTGCCACCTTCCTCAGGTGGTTCGCTCCTTCTCCACTCCCCTCCGCCAGCTTCTTGACTGACGCGTTGGCACCTCAGTTGCCGTCCTCCCGCATCCGCAACCCGCACCCGCGCCCCGGCCGCGCCTCCGTCCCCAACCGGCCCACGTCTCATCTCACCTGAGATCCAAGCATCCGAATAAGCTCCTGCCAAAGGCGCATTCCACGCAACACACACTCACACACCCACAAGTCAAGCTGTCAATCTGTCAACCTTTTTCTATCGCCGACTTTTTTTTCTTTCTTTCTGCTGTGCCTCTCAAGATGGCCCAAGCCCCTCCTCCTCCCACCGTCATCGCCCAAAAACAATCCTTCCTCGCCACCCAGGCTCGTCTCCTCTCCCAACCCCTGCAGCCCTCTCGCTCCTGGCTCGCCGCCAACCAGGCCGCCGAGTCCCCCATCACGGACCCCGTCGCCGAGCACGTCGCCGCCCGCCTCAACACGACTTTGCTGCAACACTCGCGACGCGCCTACTCACATCAAGCGAGCCGTCACGTCGCCGAGCAGATTGACGCTTTATATCTATCCCAACTGTCAGCCGCGCAAAATGACACCTCCGATGGTCTTTCTCTCTCCTTGGACCTGTGTATGTTTTGATATCTATCCCAGCACCTTTCCAACTCAATGTTTGTAGCGCAAAGACTAATGAAAGAACACCAAAAGCTGAAGAGGCTGCCGTCAGGTCGCTTCCCTTGGCATGGCCAGCCGAGCGTGATGCGACTACATTTCCTACGGAAGTCAAAAGGTATGCTGAACTCGCTGGTCGCTTGAAGGCGCTCGCCGAGCAGAGACAGCAGGCCAAAGCCCGTGTTGAGCGGCTACGGCGCATGAAGGCCCTACTTGACCCCTTTCGCACCGAAGATGCCGGCGCGGGTGTGCAGGAGAACCTCGTCACCCGCGATGGCGAGGTTGAAAAGGAGATGGAGAAGATGCGCGTCCTGCTGGCCCGTGTAGGTGGTCGTGTAGGCCTTTTGCCCGAGTCCGCCGAATCTGCAAGCCTGTTCAGAGATGGCGACTCATTGATCGTAGAGCCTGTCGCTACAGGAGAGAAACGCAAACTTGACCATCTTCTCGGCAGCTTCTGACGGGCCGCCCAGAGAGTTCCGAGGTGAGATCGAGAGAGTATGTTTGGGAAAGCAATGGTAGCCTAGGCAAAGGAGTTTTGTACTCAAATTGTGTAGTGGCGTTAGGTTCTAGGTTCTAAGGATACCCCCGGATTTATAAAATCAAAAAAACTACTTCTTTCTTGTGATCCTGGCCCGCCCATCCTGAAAGGAATATCAAGCTTGGAAGTCGACCGTGTACCCCAAAGAATTAGCGCCAGGAATGGCCCTCCTTTTTCTACCAGCATCAGAGCGAGGCAGCTTTGAAGCATCGCTGAAGTCCTCACTGGTAGGCCGTATGCTCTTCTTTCTCTGTTTGATTTCTCCCTCGAGAGTGGCATCTTTGGCACTGTCATCCACATCTAGACCTTTAGACTTCTTGTCACCCAGCTCTGAGGTTTGCGGAAGTGCCTCCTCCTGGGGATATAAGCTTGGCCGCACAACCCGAAGGTTGCCAATCACCTCTTCTTGATCTTCATCCGATACCTTAGAGTATACTCGAAGTCCAACGACAGCCACAGCATTCCACGGATCTCTTTCAAATTCGTCTTGCTCCTCGGCAGGCGCACCAGGCGCTGGCTGCGGCGGCAGACGATCCGTATTGGGCTCCCGCCTTTCAACAGCGTCAATCTCGAGCTCCAGTTCCCGCTCAGAAAGCTCTGACATGGATGATACACTTGCAATGCCATCATCGTCCGACTCGCAAGGGTAAGGTGCAGAATACTCCGACGCGGGTGCTGCTTCACTCATCGTCTCTTCGGCATCCTGAAGGATAGTCTCTTGCACCTCACTCTTGACGCTGACTATCTCGCGCCTATCTCCCCTGGAATGCTTGTTCGTAGGCTTGGGGGGCGTCAGAAATCCCGGACCTCTTTTGCTGTTTTGTTCCAGCATTCCAGCCGAGTTGAACATTTGCGGTATGGCTCTGTCTTTGTGACGGGGAGAAACCGGCATGTCCTCAGTGGCCGCGGTGCCTGAATTGCCTTGGCTGCTCATTCCTCGAGAATCGTTCGACAAAGAAAGATTTTTGGTTGCAATCTCAAGAGCTTCAGGTTTGTCTTCCTGGATTATGACTTTGGCCACAGGGCTTGGTGGATTTGGGATCGGCTCAGATTGCCTCGACGGAGGGGGGTGAGATATCTTTTCTTGTGCACGTAGCTTCTCTTTTGCTGCCTGGTGTTGTGCAATGCGTTTCGCCTGTTGCTTCTGAGCTTTCTTCTTGGCTTTGATCCTGAGGTAATGCTCTTGCTCTCGCTCTTCGAGGATTTTGCGCTTGATATCGGCACGTCGCTTTTCCCGCTGTCTCTTCTCGTGTGCCTGTTTGGCTGATTTCTCCGCGGGTGACTCGACAAGTTTTCCCTTGCTATGAGCAAGGTCATAGGCCAACCCTATCCGGATCAGCTTCTCCCGACGGTTTTTGGCATTGTTACGAATCACTTGGTCAATGGGAAGAACGCCGTCGTTTCGCACCGCATCTAGCTTGACAAGAACCTCGTAGCTACCAGCTTGAAGGTCGAGTTCAACGTTCACGGATCGGTTCATGCGGTAAGATGCTTGACTCCGAACGACATAGTCCTCTTGGCCGGCTTTGTGCAGACGGAATTGCAAATCAAACCGGTATTGTCCTTCCAACCCACGAAAATATCGATCGTCAAGTTGTGCTAGCACAATCACGACGGGACCCGGCTTGGAGATTGTAAAGGCGAAATACGTCTCGTGGTAGTCCAGGGTCCAGGGGACCGAGAGCGTTGTCCAAATGGATGTAACCTTCCACTCGGGACCGAATAACCGGGTAACATCAAATATGCTGTATTTTTTGAGGAGATCGTGGTACGAAATCCAGAAGGCGCCGTCGTCGCCGAACGTATGTTTGAGTTTCTGCAACCACTCAGGGGTCCATTCTTTGGAACCATCGCCTACTTCCGGTCAGCACGAGAATGATTAGACACCAAGACTTGAAGATGGGAACCTACTCCAAGCTCCTTTCCATTCACCCTTTCCCCAGGGGTTCTTGAGAAGAACCAGTCTTTGACCATCCATTTCAACTGCCTTCATGACACTGTAAGCATGCATCTCGATGATGCCCTTACGTTCCCCCAGGCCCCTTGATGCAAACCCAGTGGAACAGCCCAGGAGCCAGTCTTCATTGACTTTTAGGAGTTTCTCTTTCCAGAAGTACTCCTTGTCAAGAATGTCTGTAGTGTAGACCTCCGAGGTTACGCCACCCGTAAGGTCCTCAATGGCCTCGCCCGTGAACCCACCCTCAATGGAGGCATAGTCTCCATGCGCTTTCGCGTATGCTTTCTCAAGGAGCGGCAGCCATGTCTCGTTAGGATTCTCGCACTGAGCAAAGTAAAGCGCGCCGCTGTTTGACTGATAGATACGCCTATAGGCTTCTTCTGAATTGATGCGCTCCCGATCTTCCCAGAGGATGCGCTCCAAGTAGGGCTCGTCATAGTCGGGTTTAGTAAGGTACAGCTATGCAGCAAGTCAGAAAGAGCCTCAGAGCTTTGGGGGACCTTCTTGGATGTCTAGTCCTAGCCATTCACAGCCATGCTTTTAGGGGAGCATCAGAACATTACCTTGTCATCGATGATCTCGCTGAACCACTCTCCGTCGCGATGGAAGACAAAACCGTACACGCCAACTTCAAGGTCATGCGCAACGCAGACCTTTTCAATTAGACCAGGCTTGTTACTCAGATTGCACAATGCAGCCATGAGCCAACAGTCTCCGTCTCGACCTTGGCGCACATCGTCAGCTGTAGGCCCGTCAATATAGAACTGCGGGTTGTCGAAGATATCGACAACGCGCTTGACGGCCTTGGGCTGGAAAGAAGACTGCGGGGTTTCGCATCCTTGGTATTCCATAGGGTTTCGAGGCAGTCTCTACGCCCGAACTTGAGGTCAAATTCGATATCATAGTGAGGGTCTCTATAACGTTGGTTTACTCGGCGACACTCGTAAACGATCTTGTCGACCTTGGCTTTGCAGACAGTCGCGGCCTCGTCGTACGACGTCTGGGTGAAGATCCTAGTGGCCTTGGAAGACCGCTTTGCGACTCTCTCAGCGTACGCATTCTGGGGAATGACAGTGGTAGCTGGCGGTGTTTAACACATTCAAGTCAGCCTCACAGTGATATCGAAGGCTTTTCTCCGTATTAAGGAGGCGACTGACCTTTACCCGGAGTCTTGGTCGTGAACTTTGTCCAGAACTCGTCAATGATCTCTTGGGGAGGCTGTTGCTTCGTCTTTCGGGGCTTGGTGACGGTTACAGGCATGGTGGCTAAATATGCTCGACGGCGCGGGTGGGGGGTCACAGACGAGGGTACAATCTCGTCGGAGCTCGAGCTGGCGCTCGAGGTTACGGTGGAAGCCATTGTTTCTTCGCTTTCAGTCTCTTTGGCAGTTGCCCTAAAGTCAAAATAGAACTTGCTGATCACGATATCTTTCGCGCTTGCCGACACTCATTCAGCTGGTCAGAGCTAGCAGTCTCAGCTGGGGTACTCGGCTTATACCACCCCGTCAGGTGCGGCTCAAAGTAGCGGATGATTCGAACGTGGAAAAGGTTACTTGAACAGCTATGGTGGTTTGAATGCAAGAGAGAAAGAACTCACGAGAACCGTTTGCGCGGGTTGAGGTCAGGTTGGGAATCGTGGAAAGAATAACCCGCGAAAGTTATCTTTCGGGGGGTAGGCTCAGGCTGCGAGAGGTCGCTTTTTACCCTTGTGAAATGAGGCTCTGCTTTATAATGTCGACGGGATCGAGCAGCCTGCCGCATGGACGTTAGAGACAGCTTTGAAAGGGACAGCGTTGATTATCGGGATACCCAGCCGTACGGAGAGGACCTTAAGTGGCACAACATGCTTGTGCGATGCTCGTGACATCTTACGCAGGCAGAAATGAGGCGGCGAGCAAATAGACTGGTCAAGATGGGCACGCGGATAAATACGCTTACTGCCTCCTGGGTACCTATCAGGCTGCACTCGAACATGGAAGATGGCATGGGCAATGAAGACTGCATCTGCTAGTCCACCTCATACGTTGCTTGCATAGCAAAATCAGCGCTTGGAAGCAGGCTGTACTAGCCCGTTGACTTTTACCCCGCTTCAACACCAGGGCTATGGTACTAGGCACCGTACTTCTTTTTTACAATGAGGCTGGCCGAGTTTCGACACCAACACCCGCAATGTGCAAAATTGATCATAGCCTACCGCGGCTCAGGTGACCCGGTAGCCTCCTCACTCAGTCAGACACGAATGATGGGGGATACGTATGTCTACATGTAGAATGGCCTGCCGACCTTACCAGCATGACCAAGAAGACAAGACGAACCCCGAGGTCCGGTTGCACCTTCCCAGAGAGGACGCCGGTACGGATGGCCAGAGCTTTCGGAGTGCCGTTGGTACCGAACTTGACTCCGTGTGCGCTGGTGCTTACTCACGACCTCTGGTCTGTTCGCTGCAGCAGCAACCACCTTCGTTTGCGACGTGCCGCCACATCATGCTGTGCTATTGTCCAACACATAGGCCAAGCTCGACCACAACAGACTTCTCCACGGAATGTGATTTGTCCTGAGCTTGACCATGGCTTCACGCGATCCCGTACAAGTGCCGTCTATGTCAGGCCTAATTCCCAGCCTTGAGAATACCCCCCGAGCCGTTCTTGAGCTCTGCCGTATCTACTAAGAGCAGAGTATTTGTGAACTCCGCGATAAATCCATCCGTCGTTAGTCATAGCAGAGCTGGCGTATCCTACTCCTGTAGTCTTGAAACGCCGAAGTTGGTCCCAAAAGGCAGTCCACTGCCAGCTGTCCAGCAGCATCCCCTATACAGCGTCACCCGGTTCAGATCACCCATCACAACTGCACGCCCTACCCCAGAAGAGACTCGGACAACTCAAACAACAACAGCTTCTTTTTTTTGTGCGTCACGCCACAACAGCTTTGCCGGGGTGCCCACCATTTCTCCCTTCGAAGGGATCTTCTACTCAACAACCACTTCCACCGCCCCAAAACTCTTCTTCTTCATAAGATACTTGGATATCTCTCATCCCCTTCCCCGAGCCCCGTCTTCCATCCCAAGGATCTTTTCCCTCCCGATATGCTGTGCCAGCAGTGGGTCATAGCCAGGGTTGGCTGTCCATTCAAGCCATCGCTAGCAGGCACGTAGAGGTAGTGAAGATTCTTAGCCGCAAGCGGCCTTGGAATTGCTGCTGTCCTTGCCGTCGTTGTCTAAGCCCAATCAGGGACAAAGGGCCAGACGCTAGAGATGGTATCACCTCGTTATTGTGATGTCGAACCAGAAGCAGCATTGTCGAGCCAAGATTATCCGCAGGATGGCTAAGAGGGTCGTGAACTTTTTTTTTCCAATCGCGTTGGAGAAGATGCATTCAAACATGCTGGAGACCATCCGTCGTGAGTGTCGTTTGCTATGAAGAAAGGAAGCCTTTCCCGTTTTGTTCCAGAAAATGAATCGTGTTGATGAAGGGGAATCCGTGTAGACGCCATGTAAAAGCAAAGGATGCCATTTGGCGACATGCCCGTTTTATGCATAGATTGAAGTAATAACCAGAATGAAAGGGGGAAGGTGCAGTTGAGGTGATGTTCAAAAGGCGTAAGGATTGGTCGTAGTGCAGATAAATGAAAGCGACATCGCTGAAGAAGGGCCGCAAAAGTTTTGTGATGGTAGCTGCATCAAGGCGGCGGCTTACACCCTTAGGCCTAGCCCAAGAAGTCGCAACGTCCTCGAGAGAACATGACCAACAATCGCTGTCTAAGCAACGGGGGCAATAGGCGCAATAGGCGCAACAGCGGGCTGAGGGATGCCAGGAGCAGCCGACAGATCAACGTCGTTAGGGATCTCGCCGTTGGTGTTCTTCTGGGGGCAATCGCGGGAGATGTGACCGGCCTCGCCGCACTGGTAGCAGGTCTTGCCAGCAGTGTTAAGAGGACCGCCGTTGGGGGCAGTGCAGTCACGAGAGATGTGGCCAAGCTTGCCGCAAGCGTAACACTTCATGGCCTGAGCCTGGCAGTCTCTCGCGAAGTGGTTAGGACCACCGCACTTGTAGCAGGTAGCAGGACGGGGGCCACCGGTGAAGGCACCGCGGCCGTAGCCACCATATCCGCCACGGGGAACCGGGGGGCCACCGCGGCCCATGTTGACACCAGCGGGGTTGGGGCAGGCGCGCTTCTCAAACGTCAATAATCTGAGCACTGATTTCTAGAAATGGAGTTCCTTACCGCAAGGTGGCCGGGCTGTCCGCAGTTGTAGCAGCGGCCACTCGTGCCAGCGCCGCTCAGGCGCAAGGTCGGGCAGTCAGCCTGAACATGGCCGAGACCCTGGCAGTGGTAGCACTGCTTAGCCTCGGTGGTGCGGGGCAGAGGGCAGCCGTTAGACTCGTGGCCGGGTTGCTTGCCTACAATCTCGCATCAATGATATGCCTAACATACCATTAAGTGGTAAGTGACTCACAGTTGTAGCAGAGACGCTCGGCGGAAGAGCAAACCTCGGCATAGTGGCCAACATTGCCACACTTATAGCAGGCGCGACGAGAGAGGGAAGACATTTTGGATAGTGTGAGACTAGGATTTGGCATGTTAGTTAGAGTGAAGTTGATCGACTAATGTTTCGCCATGTTCTTCGGAATGTTTGGTCCAGCACAGCAGGAGCCCGCATCCTCGAAGTTGCAAAGCAGCAGCAGCAGCAGCAGCAGTATCCGGATCGCAGTGTAGGTCGCAGTGTCGCGTATCTAATTGGGGAGGACCAAACTCTTTTAAGACAGAGGCGCAAGTGCCGCAATCCAGCTCAGCGCGACCTTCTCGGCAAAGAGAGATATTGTAGCTTTTGGTGGTCCTGCTCGACGGAGAGATATCCCAACAGCCGCCCAGTACGGAATCTGTCCACTAGCGTAGTGGCGAGCGGCTGAAGTTGACGTGAGGGATTATCCAAGACGATCCACCAAGGGCTTTTGAGAGCGGCGCATCGACTCGAGCGCAAGTGCGCGGGGCCGGGGTAGCGGGGATAGTAGCAAGCGAGACGGCGCAATTGTGCGACTCCGGGTTCAACACTGACGGAGGGCCGAGAATCGGTAACCGGGTCGATGTGGTATGCGGTAGGCCGATGCAACTGCGGCTGTGGTTCAATGTGGAAATGGTGTGCCAAATTGGATCGCTGCATTGTGTTCGCAGTAGGGCACACGACTGTGAAGCGCGAAACTCGGCGTGGGTGTGCGGAATTGCGACCAGGCCAACGATAGGCGGGGTTGGCGCATCTTCGAAGCTGGTCGCTTTGCGCAAATGAGTCCGGCTACAAAGAAATGGCTAACTGGTCTCCAGATCTGAATCAGAGTAGATGGGAGGCAGAATGTTTTAGGTTGCGCTCGCTGGAAACGAGTTGCGCTGCGATGCGATGCAAGCCGAGTGTGGACCGAATGATGATGCCGATGCTGATGCTGATGCAAATATTGGCGCTGACAGTCCGGATAGACTAGAGAAATGGCCGTTGCTGCTGCTGGTTGCTCCTGCTACTCACTACCGCGATGGGCTGGACTTCCGGGTCGGTCGTCGCATGCACTTGATGCGACGGCACGGCGAAGAAACGTCACGGCACCACCACATGGCAGCAGGGAGCAGACGACGAGGGGGAGAGGGCTGGGTAGAAGGACAGAGGGGTAAAAGTAAGGTACCGGGAGGCAGGCAAGAGCGAATGGGAATTGTGCGGACAGAATGCAAAATGCAGGAACGAAGGGTCGAGGGCGAAACTCACCTTTTCGCGAAAAATTGCCTTTGGGAAAATCGGGGACGTCGAGTTTGTTTCGAAGAGAAAATGCGGTTGAATATGCGGGAAGGGGGGAAATAATAATTTGTGGAGGAGGAGGGGTCTAGTAATTGGGAGGAGGAGGAGGTAAGCGCAAGTGGCCAGGTGAGAGAGTGAGTGAGGTAAGGCACGCGCGGTAAGCTAAGGTAGCGGGGGTGAATTCAGGTTGAATGGAACCAGGGACTGGAACCTGGATTGGGACTGGGACGAATTGGGTGCAAGTGGGAAACAGAGAACGGAGGCGAGGAAACGTGCTTCCGAGTTATATTCTCTTGCCGCTTCCTTGGGTTCTACTTTGTCAGGTACGGATACCTACTAAGGTAGGCTAGGTAGGTACGGATACTGGTGCGGTATTCCTCCCTTCCCACCTAGTTCCCATGAACCTAATGTACCTCACCTGACCTTAGAATGGAATGGAATGCAAGCAAGGCAGGTGGCACCTCAATTGACAACCTGCCTTGCACTTACCTTAGGTTTTTAGCTCACACGACCATCGGACTTCACGTAGGCGAAAACTTTTCAAAACACCACACAGAATGAGGTCGAGTCGGAACAAGGTTCTTTTGGTACCAGTGCGTGAGAAGTGGCATCTATACAAGACCGGAAGGCTACCTCAGAAGGATGGGGGTACATGACAAGGAAATAAGACATCCAAAAAAGGATGGCTACATTTATCACACCCATCTCCTACCCTGTTTGGTGAAATCTACTTCATCCACCTTCTCCGCTATCTTTCCCTTCGGCTTTCCCACAGCCTCTTCCTGCTACCACAACTACTCTCAGTCTCTGACACTTCATCTTTTTGAGAAACTGACAAATGAACTGATACCAACAGTCAGCCACTCCTTCTCTTCCAACCACTTCCCCCCTCTCCCACCCAGTCATAGGAAGGAAGGTTAGGTAGCGTTGGATGGGAACCTCGAGGTACCTTGTAACTAAGCAACCCCCTTCCCGAACTTGACGAGAAAGGGAAAGGACGGGACCGGGCTGGCTGAATTGAGGTGCTCTGAGCGGGATGGGCTGGGCTTGACTGGGTTGGAGAAGCGCGTGTGGCAGGAGACGACCGGGAGGAAAGGTGCGTGTGGGACGTCTACCTCAAATCGGCGTAGCGCGTTTGCAACAATCCAACCAATTCACTCTGGCTCTGGATTCCCTCCGTCTCCTGGCTCTGTTGGAAGGCCACGACATTCCCATGATGGGTTGCGACTCTGAGAGCGAGGTATTCATCACACTAACTTGCGCAATACCTTCACACTGGCCGACTATCACAGAGCGCACACCTGAAGAGTGGAACTCAACTTGAGATGGTGTCAACTGGTCAATTGCAAATCGAGTCCGGTTCTCTCGGTCCGGGCACTTGGAAACCTTGTACCTCACGATGCCATGGCCCATGGAACTTGAAAAAGTTGCACTTGCGCTTGATATGCACTCGCTTGGAACTGCATCCCTTGCATTTGCGGCTTGCGCTGCACCTGCAGATACAAGCACCCGCTTCTCCTCCCACATCCCACATCCGCCAATGACCGATGCTTCCTTTGGATGATTCGATACATTCCACGTCCTACAAACGAAATGCAAAGAAGAAACCCCCTTTTCATCCCGAGTTTCCAAGCCCATGTGGGTGGAAGCTCTTGCATATCAACTTATATGTGGGAGAAACATGGACAGACGGCGGAAATAGTAGCGAAGGTCAACGTCGGTCCGTCGGACATGATCAAGACGCTGTCAGTCTGTCTCACATTCGACACAGACCATGAGGGGAGTATAGACCATGAAGTGCAGTTGCTTATCACGATGTCGAGACTCAGCACTGAAGACGCAGGCAAGCAACTACCTAAGAGTCGTTAAAAGTGGAGGGCGGGGAGAAACAAGCCTCCCCTCCCCTCTCGCCGCTCGGGCCAGGTCTCACAACGATGCCCCGACAAGTCAATCGTTATCCAAGGCCCCTGCTCCCGGTCAATGGTCATCTTTTGACGAGACTCTTTCTTTTTAGTCTCGGCTCTCGACCACGTCCTTCTCACCTCGTCCTCGATTTACCGGTTGAAGGGCTTCCTCATACTCACTTCTACCTCGTTCACCAGGGTCAACTTGATACGCCGCACCCAACACGTATACAGATAGCCCGTAGTATCAAACAGAGTTCAAACTTGTCTTACTCAGCACGTCTTCCGCTGCGCCAGACCTTGCCAAAACTGGAAGCGCGAGGTAAGTTTCATGTTGCCCTTTTCTCACAAACCTTGCCCTCACCCTGAACAACCTCACCACGTGCTCACCTACCTCCACGTTACATCTCGTCTAGTGACTAAGAGTATGTAAACCAACCAATCTCACATAATCACTTGGCAGTACGGAGTACGGATACTTGACTCCTGATGAACTAGAGGCCCATGTTCTCAACCTCTGGATCAAAGCACATAACAAACACGAGCGCACAAACATCCACCTCGGCAGTATACACAGAGATGGAGCCTATTTCACTGTCCGCAACTCGCCATCTAGAATCTCTAGGTACTCTCCTCCTTTTAGCACTTTCCCCTTAGTCCAGCCCTCGTGACTCCGCGCGCTAAGAGAGTACACTTGAGCAAACTTGGAAACCATCATCCGGACCAAAAAGCCTCATAGCGCATACCCACCTGAATGTGCCGCCCAGGAAAAAAAATGGCCAGAGTGAGAAAAAAGGTGTCGTAGTATATGTGTCAACCCCGGTCCGCATGGCGTCCATGTGGCGGTTCCTGACCTGGTTCAATGTAAATTGTCCGTGTGTCGCGACACTTGGACATGTCTCAATGTCACCTCCCCGCCCGCCCCCGGGGCCATAGGTCCGGGGGTTTTCTATTCCAAGTGGCTTGCAGGGTCGAAAAGCAGGAATTCGCAGTGGAATAGTTCTGTGGACACCCGCATACTGAGCTTCTGAGCTTGCGCAATGCAGCCTCGTAGATGATCACGGACAGCTGTTTCTGTTTGCTCACAGACGGAGTTCACAGGTAAGAGTTGGAAGCCAGAGTACTTGAGTGAAGACGCGGCATGTACGACTTTATCACATAGGGTTTGCTACTGCGTCGTGATCCTGCGCAGGACGAGATGTAGAATTCTGCCTAGCTTCTTGGTGCAGCTACGGAATTGCCGCCGCCCGCACGTATATATGAGGCACCAATCTTTTCTCTACATTCCCACAACCCCAAATATCCTTTTTATTAAAGAAAATATTTTGTCAAAGTCATCGTTGTCAAAATTATCATTTCAATGATTTTTTAAGTAAAAAAAAGTAAAAAATAAAGAAATAAAACGTAATACATAAAAAGAGTTAAAGTTAAATAGTATAGAAACCCAGGGATACGGTCAAGTCTATATATACTGCAATAATCTTGTAGTAATGCCAAACGACAGTGTTAAACAGTGTGTATTCCCACAACGAACGGTAGTGTTACGCCTTACCGCTGGCGGCTCTGCAGAAGAAGTTTGATCTCAAGCCCGTCCGTCCGGGGTAGACGTAAGCCCAGCCATGTTGTGGAACCACTCTCGCAGGACACCCCGCAGCCAACAGTTGTCATGCTTCAACAACACTGGAAACGTGTAGTCACGTATTTTTTTCATTCTCGCAGGTGTGTTCTACTTGACTCCTCTCAAGATCACCTGTGGCATGCCTCCTCTCTTATATTACATTTCCGTGACTTCTTTAAATACCAAAGATGACGTTGCGCCCCCCAGTTCGAAAATGGTCTGTAAAGATTTGCATGTAAGACCCTCATTCGGGACGTCGCCATTTTGCATGCACTTGGTTCTGCTTCTGCTGCCTGCGCCAGATCTCGAGTTGAAAACATCGATGTTCTTACAAAAATCGCCAGCGCCTACGCAGCAAAAAAAGCAATTCAGTATAATAAAACATGCCCCTCTCTCTCCGCTCAACGAGTGCGGGCTCTTTTTCTTTCGTTACTCTCTGCCATCACCGTGGCAGGTTCGATTCTCGTTTATATGTTTTACCACGCGCTCCTGTGTTCACCCAACCGTCCCATTTCGGAAGGGTGCGTAGGCAGTGGGGTTGGTACGTCAGTCATCGCTGCCGGGGCCATGGATCGGGGTCGAGCCTCGACGACGTAGCTCACTCCGTCCTCTGATGCGTATGATGGTGGTCGAGGACCGGTGCTGCTTCCTCCACGACTAGATGTTCCCTCGTTCGGTGTGGCGTTCGGGTTGCGCTGCCAGTAGATGCGGTTGGGATCAACCCTCTGCGTGGAATGTGTCAATCAAGGGATTCCCACGTACGTGCAATACCACGTTTCATATATAAGTACATACCACACTCTCTCGCCATAGGCCGTAGGCTGGGGGCTTGGCCAAGACCGCCTCGCTGACCTCCCCTTGCTCCTCTTCATCGCGCGCCAGCACGACTCGGATCGGTTCTCGTGGCACAGCGTAGCCCCCGGGTGCCAAGAGTTGCGGCATCGGCGGTCTGGCCTCGTCGTCGACCCGTGGCCGGATGACAAGCATGCATAACCGGATCAAGCCGTGACAGAAGAATATCGTGACGAACAAAATGATGAGAATCAACAAGACCGTAAACTCGCTGCTGCGGATATTCTGTGTAAGGGAGAGTGCTAGATCTGTTGAAGTGGTTAGTCTCCAATACTACGCTAAACACTTGCCAAAGTAGGACACCACTTACAGACGGCGAGGAGGAGCGTCAGGAATCCGCCTGAAATGAAGCATCGGAGAATCTGCGATCGCATACGCCGTGACTTTGGCCAGGGAATACAGAGCAGAAATCGTTTAGGATGCCCCTCGCTATTATCGTCATGTTGCTGTCGGCGATGTGCCCGTCGTCTGCGCCGCCGACCTTCCTGTGCCATGTTCGCCAGATGCATCTCTGCGGGATCTGGCCCGGTGAACCTCCTCGTCCCGCTGGAGGTTTCGATTTCGGGGCGCCGTGCGACGGGCGCCGGCATCGTCACCCGGGTCGTAGCTGGCGGTTGTCCAGCAGCTCTCGTCATGGGCGGTTCGGGGGAAGCAGACTCGTCGACTCGGTTTAGGGGTTGTTGCGTTGTCGAGTTGGGCCGCGAATCGGTGCCATTGGAACCGCTGGTCCATGTTCTCGCGAGGTGTGGCAGGTTCAGACGGGTTCCTGGCAGTGTCGGCAGGCCAATATTGAAGCGTGGTGTTTTCGGGCTGTCAGATTCCTCGTCTTCTAGCCTTTGCATCCCATTGCCTGGACGCCTCCTTGAGGAGAGGGAAGGCCTTGTGCCAGGCAAGCGCCTCGATCGAGGCCGTGAGCCCTCTTCCATTTCTGGTTGTGTAGATGGGCCTGCCAGAGCCTGCTGCTCAATATCCTCCCCCTGCGAGGAACGCCCTCGCCGAAGAAAGTCCATGACGAGTGAGCTGAGTTATGGGCCAAACACTTTGCCGCCGAGAGATGGCAGATGAGCTGAAGTTATCACCGTTCAAGCTCCTCTCATTCTTGGGTATACGTGTCGGTCGAGCAAGCGCAAATAGTCGTCCAGGGTTTCGTCGTCGTACAGTAAAAGTCGTCGATGGCGCTGGAGGCGTAGAACGCAACGGTGAGGTTCCCCTCTTGGCCAGTGGCACAAAGAAATCGAGTCAGCCGCGATGAGAAGAACAAAGGTTATCTTGTCTCTTAGTGCGGCAGTGGCGGGCTACCAGCAACGGCTGGGAAACGGCTGTAAAGCACCAATGACGGTGATCGATGACTTGATGGTGGGTTGGTTGATAAAGGACGTCCAAAGGGATGAAAAGGGGCGTCTTGAGTGGTCGAAGGGAGGCTGATACTCGCGGTCGCAAGAGAACAGCTTGGGAGGGTATCAAGAAGGGTAACGTTGGCTAGGTAATGTGGCTCCCGGAGCTAAGAGAAACAAGCGACGGTCTACAGACAGCGTTACTTGTGAAGGAAGAAGGGAAATGTACTAATTTGACAATGAGGGCGAGAAGGCCAGGCGGGCTAGCAAGAAGCAGAAGATGAAGACAATGCCAGAAAGGCAGCTGGCGCCAACATGACGCCGGGCGCGATGTGGATTGGTGAAGAAGGAAGAGAACACAGATGGACCGAGAGGAGAGGAGAGCGAAGTGCTCTGGTCCAACGGTAACCAAAGAACAGGGTGGTAGGCGTCGTTTCCGAGCGTCTTCTTCGTGGTCCGCCGGCGACCTCAACCAGCAGTTCGGTCCAAAGCAGGGCTAGGTAATGCGAGGGAGGAAGTATTCAATGTCAAGCCAAATATGAGAGGTAAGGAGGTGTCGATGGGCTAACGAGTCTGGCGTCTGCAGCATGCGGTTGGATCAGATCTGTGTCGTTCGGGGATCAGTGGACGGTGCCACTGGACAGGACAAGAAAAGCAAGCGGCGAACTTGGTCACACAAACGCCCCGCCAGTCTCATCCCAATGTACCTGGGATTCTGCGACTTGCGACTCTGGAGAACCTTGAAGGAGTAACGAGCAGACGGGGTAGGGGTGCTTGAGAGGGCAGGAGATGAGTAGGATCTGACGAGGGAGAGGGGGATTGGGGGAGGAAACGCACTGAGTGTGCGGCGTCGGGGATGTGAACAAGCGGTAATACTCCGTACTCCGTACACAATATCTGCATTTAGACCCTTGCATACTACCTACATACGACAGCCTCAAGGTAGTCTCGGCTTGGCTCAGACTCTGTGTGGGCGATTCATTACTTCGTACCTCCGTAGAGAGATGAGATGAGATGGATGGGAATGTATCCGTGAGCCTTGAGGTAAGGTGAGGTAGGTACTTCGTATGCAATGAAACCGAGTCAAGGACGGCAAGGATAATGCAGGAAAGCCTCCCTCCGTCTTGGGCTCTCACAGACCTACGAATGCTTGCAGTCTGAACTCTTGAAGACTCGGCGCAGACGGTAGGAGTGCTGGACGGGTCGGGTTCACCCTTCGTTTATTGACTTCTCTGACAATTGGAGTGTTGCACAAGCAGTCAAGGGGGTTGCTACTGGGAACATGGGAACCAATCGTAAGGGGCGGATGAGTTGACCTCGGACACCATCACAACTCTCTGCAGTGCCGCAGCGCGTGGGAGACGGTGGGACTTGGGATACGTACCTGATGGGAGGAAGGGCTCAGGGGGCCGGCTGGAGAAGAAAACGTGTTTCGGATTCTTGTATCGACGCGCGCCAACCTTTATTCGGACTAGACCGTAATGGCGCGCGGAAAGGGGCTCTCTCATTGGAGTTTTAGAATGTCTTGAAGAAAGGGATGCCAACCCAGGCCGCCCTCGGTTTGGGCTGGCGTTTGGCGTTTGGCGTTTGGCGTTTTGAGTCTCCTCCAACTTGCATCCTGTCAACAGTCCAACTGCTCAGTTCGCTTTCCATTCCTATGCTGCCTGCAACTCCGAGATGTGCACAAAAACTAGGAAAAGTAATATCAGGTGACATTGGCGGCAAGAATAGCAGTCTTTGGCGCCTCAGCTTAGCGTCCTTTGCGGATCATTCGTCTCGGTTGGATTTAGATGGTTCCCATGGTCAAGCTCCTGTGATGGACCCTGGCAAGCCTGGGATCTATCCGTACTCTTAGTGAACACTGAAAACCCACGCCTCTTCCTCTGATGTGGGGGCCAACTCCATATTGGCGCGAGCCTCCACTTATAATCAGATATCCCCTTATAGAAAACATCCATGATCCAGAGAGGAGTAGCCTTCCAATTGACTGTGCTCGGATGACTTGCGGACACTGGCTTCAACGATAACGGAATTGCGCTTGTCGTTGTCGCAACCAGCCATCGCTGTCGTCTCTCTCTCTCTCTCTCTCTCTCTCTCTCTCGTGATATTACCTCAGCGTACGCCTACAAAGACTCAAGAACCATGATCGACGATAGCTGCTGTCAGTATGGAAGTGACAGCTAGAGAAGGTCTTGCGAATCGACCGCCAGTTGAGTTAAGACAGGCAGACTACGTAGAACACTTAGACACTCGGAGCCGAAGCCCATCCGCGTCACCGTCCAAAGTTACGGCATTCAACACTTGTGTCCTTTCAACTCTGTGATTCGCCCTCGGATCGTCAGGTTGCGCAATGTTACGACCTCCGAGCTGCGTTTCCAATTCCTCCAGAAGCCGATAGAGTTCAATGTCCCATGAAATCCCGCATCACGGCCGCGCACCACATAATTGAAAGAGGGAACACGGGGTCCATAACTTTTTCTAGGACATCGGGCATTGGGCAGTTTAGCTATTTGGACACATCTGTAACATTATATCATTACCAGAGTAAATTATTTGTGAACCATGCTTCTGCCAAGCCGAATTACTCATTGTTGAAGGTGCAGTGCTCGAATTGTGTTTCTTGTGAATTGAACCACGCGATCTTGTCTCAAGGTTACCCTTAGGAGACAAAACGAAGACACATCAGATGAGCATTCCTGGGCCATGTCACTCGCCAACAAACACGCATCGCCCAGACTCCCTACGTAAGCCCTCTGCAGCTGGCAATGGCACGGAGCGAATCGCCGATATCGGCATTTTCCTGCAGTTCAAAGCGGCAGTTCCCGAATGTGTCTGTCCGCCTTTGTCTTGTTTGATATACTCCAGTGCTCTTGAAGCGCCTGCCATCATCAATACAGGACACTTATGCTCGTGCCCCGTGTATGTCCCTGTTGCTGCTGTACCGGGATGATGTGACTTTGCAGATGGCAGATACCGAGACTCGGTATCGGCCGCTAGGACCAAACGTTCCTAGCTTGTTGGTGTTGCGATGATTTATGGATTGCATACCCATCGAGCGTCTCTCAGCCGCCTACGCACAGCCTGGTTCGCACCAAAAGCATGCAGGCAAAGATTGATTTGCCGCAACATCAGAGGGCGCGCACTAAGCTTCGACGATGTCGCTAGAATGGAAGAAGTGTGCTGGGGATGGCTTCCCTCACCGTAGCTCCCCAAGCAGCATATTCCGGTCGGACGATGCGGAAAGTACTGTCAAAATTTGTCAGCCAAATGTCGCTGGGACCGCGAAGAGAAGAAATGCTCACCTATTGGCTCCGTCCCGGGCGCAAACTCGACACAGTTGACGGTTCCCTTGTGGCCCGGAAGCTTGTACATGAGCTTTCCAGTCTCGCTGGACCAGATAGTCGCAGTACCGTCCCCGGAACCGACGGCCACCTTCTTGCCTTCGGAATCCCAGCTAGCCTTGATGAGATTCTTCTCCAAACCCATGGAAGCGCCGTCGAACGTTCTGATGGCTCTATCGGTAGGGGCAAACGGCCGAATGTCCCATGTCCTTACCGTGGAGTCCATGGCATATGAAAGCAAAGATTGCGAGTCTGGAGAGACTCTGAGTGAAGTGATCGTGTCTTGGTGCCCCAGCATCGAGTACACGACCGACTTCTTGCGCAGGTCCCAGACCTTGATGTCATTGTCGATACCTCCCGTATAGACCTCGTTTCCAGCCTCCGACATGGCAATGGCCGTAATGGGGAATTCTGTCTGGATGTAGTCTGCTGCGTTCTTTGACCTCGGATCCCACAAGCCGATAGAGCCATCGTCACTTCCGCTGACTAGCATATCCTCGCCTCGTTTGCTGAGGTCCACGGTGTTGACAATCTCTTCGTGGCCGATGTATCTTCGTATTCTGGTTCCGTTCTCGAGGTCCCAACTTGCAAGATGCATATCTGCCGAAGCCGAGAAGACTATTTTTGAGTCCCTCGACCACTGCAGATCTAGAATTGCGCCTCGATGGCCATTAAGGATGCCGTAGTTTTCGCAATCACCATACGTTCGCCACAACACTACTCACGAGTTAGTTTCACCTCGCCGGTGATGCAGGACAGAGGTTAACCAACAAATGCTTCTGTCCATAGATCCTGAGGCGATAAAATTGCCCGTTGGATCGAATTTCGCAGCAAAGATCTCGCCCGAGTGGCCGGATAGTTCCATGACCGGTGCCTGGAGGTTACTCGTACGCGGTGTCTGTCGGCTAGGTCGTCAGTAACTTTCCAATTGGCACTGCAAAGTGATCGCCTACCGTCTGCACTAATGCGCTGCTCTTTCCTGAGGCGTTGAGCCTTGCCAAAGCTCCTGTTGAAGATCCCACATTCTGACGCTTTACGATCATCTGGCCAGCGCCCAGCTCGTCATCCGCCGGTCTCTTCTCAGCAGACATGACTGCGGTTGTCGGATGATTTTCAAAGCTCGAAGGTATTCTGTTCGACGCAGAATCGTTGTATTGCGTGTATCGTGCTTTCTCACGTCGTATTGGATGTCAATTGAATCGGGCAGGTGGTTGTTGACCAGAGAAAATGTGCTAGCTGAGATCATTGGTCCATGCGAGGCTGGGATGCGGACGGAGCTTGCTTCTGCCGACCCCCGAGCTAAAGGTGGGACCTCAATTCAGAGCCGTGCTGGAGCGCCCATCTCATTGATATCCATACCTTGCTTCAAGGTGCCTTACCCTACCTAGCTGCACGTAAAATACATATGGGGTAGGTATCCGTAGCTTTGCTCCTCCCAGCAGCTTATCTTATCTTTAACCTCATCGATGTCCACGAACACCATTTGGTACCTCACCGTCCATCCGCAGCCTCACGTTCAATTTCGATCAGTACGACAACCAACGACATCAATAACCCTCGCGAACGCCAGACTCTCCAATCTCGAATACTTGCGACTGGACTTCCCTGTGCGACAGGTCCCAAGACAGCCCACGCCAACAACGTGACGTGGTTGCGATCCGAGGCGGCAGCCACTTCCACAATACCAGCCATCTGACGTCGGCGATCCTTCCCTCCCTTACTATTTTGGCAGACGTCTACAAAAACCATGGCCGCAAGCAAAGCAACCCGCTTGGGAGAAGAGTGCGTTTCTCAGCCAGACCCGAGCGTGGTTGACAGAAGCTAATTGTTCAACAGAATCTGGAAGTACGTTGTGTGGCACCCGAATGCCGAAAAGCGAACAAGTCTGACATGCTCGATTGTAGAACTCGTATAGACAAAGTCAACGCCGAGCTCGTAACTCTCACCTACGGAACAATTGTTGCGCAGTTGTGCAAAGACTACGATGGCGACTATGTGGAGGTCAACAAGCAGCTAGACAAGATGGGATACAACATCGGTCTTCGTCTCATTGAGGATTATTTGGCAAAGTCGAACACAATGAAGAGATGCGCAAACTTTCGCGAGACCGCAGACGTCATTGCAAGAGTACGGACCCCTTGAATCGTCGACCATTGAGCCGGCATGCTGACCATTGCGAACGTTAGGTCGGCTTCAAGATATTTCTAAATATCACACCACAGGTGACCAACTGGACGACGGACAACAAACAGTTCTCGCTTGTGTTTGACGAAAATCCCCTCGCAGACTTTGTCGAACTGCCCGACGACGAGCGAGCGCAGGATGAGCTCTGGTACTCCAACATTTTTTGCGGAGTGTTGCGGGGAGCTCTTGAGATGGTGCAGATGCAGGTTGAAGCGCACTTTATCAGCGACGTTCTGCGAGGCCACGACACGACGGAGATGAGGGTATCATTAGTGCGGTACATTGATGACGAGCTTCCTCCCGAAGATGACTAGATGGTATTACATATTGCAATGCCACTTTGCTCTTTACTACACCCGGACAGCAGGTTCGATGCTTCAATGGGTTTCTCCGCCTCGACGCAAGCTTGTTATCGTCGATAGAAGGCTGGGAACAGCCCGCAGACTTGGTCCTCTATTAGCTCGTTGAGATGAAGGGGAACACCAGCTTCATCACCCACTACGGCACGCCAAAAGCACCTCCATAGAACCATAAGGCAGGGGAACATCGATCGAGGTCGGGCGTATAGCGCCTGTCTCAAGATGGAGACTGCCGGTCCAGCGCCTAGCCGCAGATATGACCTGCACGATATCAAAGAGATTTATACATACCACAGCCATTCCTGTCAACGTGAGGATCTGACGATAAGGTGGATGGTGATATGATGTTACTGTGTCTGAGTACAATGTTAAGGCAGACCAGCTTGGGAGAAAAGTACCTATCTATGGCGTCTTGAAGCAAGCGATGCTATGGAGGGTCAATGCTTGCTCCTCCCGTCCTTTAGACAAGTTGTATTTGCGATGACCGAGTTTCTGCTTCCGCATGCTCATGACTGAGCCATAAGGCGAGTTGACTCCAAGGTGAGGCCAGGCGATTGGCCGATAGGGCTTTATCTAGTGAGTACCTAAAGGAATTCACCACCGGTGTGGCTACATCTCTCGGTGCACTTGCTGGTAATCGAACTCGGAGCCTGTCGTACGACCGAGTAGGCTGTGGGCGAAATTGATTATTGACCTTGAACCATTCCACCACCCAGCCAGTTTGTCCTGACCCCCGACCCCTCAACCTAGAGGGACGCCTGCTGTTGCTGGTGACAGTAATCGATTCAACAGGACCTATATAGGCTTTCTCGCGGAAGGCGAGAAAGGTACGGCCAGCACCTGCCTTCCATTCAATACTGCCGGCCGATCATCGGGAAATATGGGGCGTCACGGCAGCCGACATGGGGTCTTGGGACGGGGAAGTGGGTTCTTCTGACCTAGTTCTAGCAGTACGGAGTACTAAATACGTAGCCAGGCCGGGATGTCGCAAAGGAGCATAAGTAGCAAATGTGTACGCACGGTAAGTGAACTCATGGTAGGATTGTCAAGCGACAACAATATGCGAATATCCAGTGTTCATTTACCCTTGCTGCGATTTATTGAAGTGCTATCAAGTTCACTCCTGTTGAGATTATTATACGAAACCTTAAGCTTGCTCGAGAGGTCCGTGCTGTGGCCCATAGCTTGCCTTTCATTTCCCAACTAAAGCGTGGGTTAATTACCTAGGTGTAGAGAATCTGCGAATGATATCGACAGGTGGGCGCATCGATTAGA